GATTTGAGGTCATCGGGTTAGGGTTCTAGTACGACGTTTCGTGGGTTTTGGTTGGAACTGAGGTCGCCGGGGTTAGGTTCACTGAGGCTTAGGTTAGGGTTTATTGTCGCCACAGTTGCAGGTCGCTTGGATTCAAGGTGGTTGAGGTTTGGGTTAGGGTTCGAGGTCAGCTGGGTTTGCGTGGGGTTTGACCGCACGACGACTGGAGTTTGGCTTCAGATTAGGGTTCGATGCTGTCGGAGATGGGTTTGGGCCTCAAGTTCGTCGAGTTCGTCGAGGTTGAGGCTGGGGTTGAGTTTGGAATTCGCTTGGGGATGGACAAATGAAGGGTCTAGGTTAAGCTCGAACAAGTGTGCTCGCTTGCTATCTTGTTCTCTGCTGCGAACTAGGATCGCTCGCCAACTAGGTCAGATTTGAGCAATAATTTTTGCGAACATATTACCCATATTTGGGGACAAGGGGCGGAACAACCTCTCGATCTGCTTACTGCAGCCCAGGAATAAAAATGTTAGTTAATGCACGAAGAAGATGAAGAAAAATTTCGGACACGGTGCGAAGAAAATGAAGAAATACGCGAAGAAGATGAAGAAAATTTGGGGCACGAAGATGAAATTTTCGTACCTAGGTCGATCCTACAAGCGAAAAAAATAAAAAATTACCACTGAAAAACAAAAATAATTACATAAATTAAATATAGATTAATTAAAAAAAATTTAAATAATAAAGTGACTCGAAATAGTAACCGATTTTATGTGACCGAAAATTCGGCTACTATTTCAGTTACTAGACTAAAAAATAATAATTTGGTTACTGATTCGGTCACCGATAGTAACTAAATATTTCTAGTCATCGATTTCTGCTACTATTTGACATTTTTCTAGTAGTGATACGTTTCGAAATTTGTGTTTTCTTTTTTATTTATATGCATGCAAATTATGATGAAGAAAATAAATTATGTTATTATTATTAAAATGATATTATGTTTGAACTCATTATGAACTTCTTATTATAAAGTCATATTAAGGAGAAAGAGATAATATAGTGGTACATGAAAAGGAGTCTATCGATTGAATGACATATAACCGCCATGACTCTTGTTATAGCTGTATCTTTAATTATGAATAATGATAGAACCAATTTATGTAAGGTCCTTTAATGCGCATTATGACTTAAGTATTAAATCACAGAATCGTATGACATCACATGAGTCAAGTGGGAGAATGTTAGAATTAATTTAATTCATTCATTCCATTATGTGACTCATGTGAATATAATAATAGGCTCAAATGTGATTTAATAAAATATGAGGACCTGTTGGTTATTATGTGAAGTTAGAATAAAATAAAGATAAAATAAAATATTAATTTACAGTAACCAACTTGATGGACGTTGGTTAATAAAATGGAATAAGGGTTTTGTCTCTGGTCATAAGGTTTTTTTCACAGTAAATCATCAAGAAAGCGTGAGAAGAGAAAGAAAGACAAAGAAATATATTGGAAAAAGGAGATTGGAGAACGAGAAGATTAAAGAATATATTATCATAAATCAAGGTTAGTTTTCTTAGTATGATTCATGTATGTTATGTTGTGAAAATCAATAATATAAAGATCATGTAGAGTAGTTTTCTATAATAAATTAAAATGTAGGAAAACTACATAATGTTATATAATATTATCTTATACGATTGTCTCATAATCCATTTATGAGAATCTTCCTGCCGTTTACTCTTCTAAAATACCTAACCACAAAAAGAAATTAAGACAAGAAAAAATACAGGAAAAATTACTGAAATAATTAGTCAAAGACAAAAAAAAAACAAAAAAAAATGTTACTTTTCTACCACCATAGAAAAACTAAAAAAATATTATTACCGTGTACAAATCTCAATATCATTATTAAAAAAAAATTCATTTCAAAATACAAACATAAATTTAAATAGGTTATAATAATAATAATCCACATAACTTTTTTTAATGTATTCACTCTTATATAAATTTATATCCCATATTAATTAATGTTATTATAACTTAATCAAACATTAAAAAATAAAAAATAAATAGAGGACATAAAAAAATAAAAAATCTTTTGTATACTAATATTTTTAAAAATTATATGAAGAGAGATTTTTGATATCCTTATGACAATGCATTTTGGACAGTGTGAAGAGTATTTTTCTTAGCTTTCATTCAGTGAAGGGAATGACTAGAGCAATAACCCATAATGCATTATTTGGACTAGTTGATGGGTTAAGACTTTGGATAATTTCTTTGGAACAATGATTAGTATCTACTATGTAGATTCTATAAACCTAACAAAGGAATCAAAGTTTAGATCCATGTGGTTGTTATTTTCCATCCCGACATAACATTGTGTCTCTATATATATCCAACATAGCAGACAAACGTGTATCCATTAGAAACCTCCATTGCTTAGTTTTCTATCCTAAAATTGATTCTGGTTTTGATTTCTGAACCAATTTTACAAATTGGTGGAAGGAATCATTGAGAGTGTGCAATGCATGGTTTTACATGCCTGTCAAAGTGTAGACTACTCATAAAAGTGATTCAATCTGGGGGGCTATATATCTGTCAAATTCAACAAAACCAAATTGCACCAATGTAGTCAACCTATGTGTCCACTACTCATTTCATACAACATTTTTGTATGAATATAATATTTTTGTGATGAATATTTGTATAAAAATGATGAAGATGAATTGAAATAAATGAAGGCAATGGAGAGGGGGTTTGACTTGAAGGGATGGAATATATGGAGGAGATATGGTTGGGAGGGGAAGGAAAGAGACAAAGACAATAATGGAGAATGAAGGATGAAAGGGTGACATGCTTATGTTTTTATTTATAGTTTTTCATCAAATTATTTTAAATAATAAATTATATTTATAATCGAATAAAATAATACATTAATTATTCATTGTTATTATAATATACATTAATATTAAAAATATTTTTATTATGTAATAGACGTGGATAATAAACTTTTATATAACTTAATGATAACCACATACTGTAAATTTTCTTTATAAGATAATTATATTAAACAATAACATATGATTTTGCTTTGAACATTAAAAAAAAAAAGTACAAACTAAAATGTTAGTTCTTCAAATTTTCTTTAGTAAAATATTAAATGATAAAAAAATTATCAACCTTGATTTTTTAAACGATTAATCAGAGTGTCTTTAAGACTAAAGATTGAGTATTGTAACTTCGACGTCATTTTTTAATATTTAAAATAAGATAACAATTTCTTAAGTTCTTCGTATTGAATTTTGTAACTTTATTAACATTCCTCAAAAACATTATTAAACTACATTGTATATTAGTGTCTCACTTTACATTATCATTTAGATTAGTGGTGGTGATGCATTATTAAAAGAAAAAGTTAAACTTATCAAATTAGTTATCAAAGTAAAACTTTTTCAATGATTACACAATATAATAAGATATATTTATACAAACGTATAAAATTTAATCTTGAAATCAAGATTTGAAAAATGTCATTTTTACTTAGTTAATTAATTAGCGATCCCAACTTTGTACTCGTGTAATTAAAGGACAAAATTTACATCCTAATAAGTGAAATTAAGATAAAATTAAATTTTTAACAAATTAAACTACTTTATGAAAAAAAAATCTTAAAATCAATTCTTTTTTTTTTTTTTTTTGCTTTACACTTTGGTACCTAAATATAAGCTATTATCACTTGAGAACCAAAATAAAATATGGAAGCCACCAAACACAAGTTAAGAATTAATTTGATAATTTATTCTTACTTTCCTTTTCAGATATCTTTTTACTACAAGTACCCTATATACTAAAAAGAAAACCCCATGTGATTAAGAAATTACAAGTCTTTGAAATTCCCATTTTAAAGGGAACCCCACCCTATTGACATTACCTTGTACAAGTATAATACCAACTAGAATTAGTAGAAATTGGTTGAAATATATATAATAAGTGAATTATGGGGGTAGGGTTTGCTAGGGAACACCCCCACCTAGGCTTCCATTCTGGTTCAGAGGGTTAAAAAAGATGGCATGCAAAAGCAGCAAATAGAAACGATGAATGAAAAGGAAAGGGTTGACAAAAAGGCAATGTGTGTAGAGCTAAAAGAATATGGATGATGAAGAAAGGAGGAGGAGGAAGAAGAAGAAGAAGAATAGAGTGAGAGAGAAAAAGGAAGAGAAACTTTGGGTTGTGAATGTTGTCCCCCAATATTCCAAAGCTGTCCATATCACATCAAACCCCCTATCTTGTAACCATCTAGGGGTCCCTTCTTGCACTACATCTGAGTTTTTCTAAAAACCATAACATATCTTCCTTAATTTTCATCCTCATTATGTCAATCACACATTTATTTAGAATCAATTTACTATTATTCTAAATAACCATTCTGTTAGATGAGGCTTCAAAATAACATTTGAGGAAAATTATCTTATCTAATTGGTGTTTGCAGAAAAAAGTTAGCACAAATGATTCTTATCTTTTTGAAAAACTAAGTCATTGTTTTTGCTGTAGGATTGGTGAATGATAGAAAGAGAAAAGCAATAGGAAGTTTAATATTATATTGGAAAAAATGATGATAACACTACCATTTTCATCAACCAAGTTTTCCCATGCTTACCACTTTTTTCTACATTCGATGAGGGACATGGAATCCGAGGAGATTATAATATGAAATTTAATTAACGAGGCAATCATTTTGTAAATTAGCTACATCATGATTTTACATTAATTTTCACTAGGAGAATTCATTCAAAAAGAAAACAAATACAAAATCAAGAAAGAAGAAAAAAAAAAAAAAAGTGATCCTGGGGTTCTTCCTATCCAATTCTCGTGATGCTTTTCTCTAATGCTTTTCTGTGACCCTTTTGTTTTTTGATGCTGAAGAAGCCTCAAGAAACCGATCTTGCATTGCATGGATGATGATGATGATGGCACACGTGAATCTTCTGTATCATCCATCATTTCTTTCATTCACAACCCCATCAAAATGTAGTACACTAGAGTTATGGGCAACGCAATCAACATCCCAAAAATGACACTGCATTGGGTTAAAGAAGGTGCGTTGGTTAGGATTAAAAGAGAAAGAAATTGAATGGAGGAAAAGGAATGGTGGGGAGAGAAAGTTCTTATGAGATTTGAACACTCACGCTGTGCTGAGAATATCAGGATGTACATTATATTCCTTGGCAAAGACAAATGGGACAATTCCTTGGGGAAGAGCTGCCTATATTTTTTTGACATTCAGATGCCAACACAGGACAAACAAATAAACATGTCAACTGCAGTTTCAAATCTTTCTTGTACAATCACAAACATCATATGAATGAATTCTCACTGTTAGTACTAAGATCTTCAATTTTTATATTATTCTTGTCAAATATCTAGGACTTATCACTTTGTTCTTCCCTTCTTTATTCCTTTCATTCATTTGGGGTTGGATCCTAAGTCTTCCCATTTTAAAACATAATTTCTATCAAACATTTTTCTTCATTTTCATACACTTTCTTATATTATCAAATCAGAAATAATGACGAACATGGCCTTTAATAAAGATATTTTAAAAGTTAACCCTTAATAAATTTATGATACATGTGTATGAGTATTCAGTGTTAAAAGACTATTTACTCAATCACATATTTTATTTGAATAGCAATAAAATAGCACATATTGGGCCCTTGGGACAGGTGGATGTGTATGTTGTTAATTCAAAATAAAGTAAATTTTAGAGCTTATGCAATGAATGTTGTGTTGTACTACTGGCTTTGTGAGGAGGGAGCAGAAGAGAGAGAAAGAAAGAGAGATACCTGAACAATGGCAACGTGTAGGAGAACACCTTTGAGTCCAACAGCAATGGAAGCAGCTGCCATGACAGCTGGACCTGTAAGGAATCTCACAGCCATGGCAAAAGCTGCTATGGAATTTCCACATGCTATGATCCTCGGTTGCAAAGCCATGAAGAGACCTGTCATTGATATCAAAAGCAAAGCATGCCCATCAGTATCACCACCACTCTCACTCAGTCAATCAACCCTTGTGACGAATGACCTTTCATCATCACCACCACCAACAACCCCACATCATCACAAACTTGGAAAAAAGCGATCATAAAAGAGTGATAAAGGAGCCAACACATTATCATAACATTATACTGTTTGCTTTCTTTGCTTTTTCTCTAGTTATCACGCCTCTTCCTTGCTTGCTTAACAATAATCATTTAACATCAAAGTAAACAACAGCAACATGGAATCAGAAAAGATTTTCTGCCTTCCCTTTTTCTATCTTTCTCTCTCTCTCTCTCAAGCAAAGATGATGTCAGAAGTACAAGTTAATTTTTCTGAGCTAAAACATATTTTGTAAGGTAACAGGGAGAGAATTGTCCTGACCAAGACTGAACATGGCCATGCCAAGCCCTGCATCTGACAATATGGAGATAGACTTTGCTATTATGGCAGGCATCTCAACATTCCACCTGTGAGGAACAACACAACACTCAACCACAATCAATCAAAATGGAAAAGGCAAAAGAAACAAGAATGAGTGGTACAAACAACAGAATATGATATGTGTGCATAGCATTGATATGGTGAAAGAGATTTTCCCTACCTAAATGAAACAAGAGACCAAGTGAGGCCAATTAGACTGGAGTAGGTGTTGGGGTTTCTGATGAGTTTTCTCCACACCATAATCAATATAAGCCTTGTCATCACACTTGCTGGAGGCATGGTTTTTGGCTTCCCATCTCCAACTTTCTCACCCTCGTGCTGATTCATCTCCCTATCCATTCCTCTGTTCCCAAAGCTGAACTCATCTTTTTCTAAGTAGTCCTCCTGGGTGTCTCTATGATTCTCCACTGATTACCAAACATCAGAAGAGAAACACCCACATAAGAAAAGGAACCAAACAAATAAAAGACTAATATTGTATTTGACTCCACATCCTAGATATGGTTTTCCACATTTAATTAGAAGCTAGATGTTATAACTTGCACATGCCAAACATGATTTCAAACTTTTAAACGGATTTCTAAACAAGTATCAAGTTAAGACTTGTAAATCCAACTTGGAATGAGGGAAAAAAAAAAAAAAAAACCTTTTCCTGGAGATACAGTCAATTTGACTTCTTTCTGATCATGACCTCCATATTCATGGGCACCAAACACATCAGAAACTGGTGAAGCGCTTGAACTCCAAACAAACATATGAAGGTCCCTATTCCCGTCCTCAGGTTTCAGCTGAGCCTGCCCATTAGGCTTCTTGGCATTAGCATTTGCATTAGCAGCAGCAACACTTTTGGACCCATTAGATGGAGAGAACATGCCAGGGTTTGGTGCAGGGTAGTGTCCAGTTCCACCAGCATGGTAGTGAAACTTTGGCTTCCCACCATCTTCTTCGTAGTTAGAAGGCCTTGGAGTTGGCCCTCTTGAAGCTGAAAGGCCATAAACATCAGAGGCTCCAAAGTTGGAGTTCCTGCCACCGGCAGCCATCATTGAGTAGAAGTCAGTATGGTTGAAGCTAGACCCTCTTGGTGTCGGGTTCCTAGAAGATTGCAAAGAGTATATCTCTGCATTTGTGAGGTTAGAAGGGCGTGGGGTGGTGGAAGAAAGACCCTGAGACCTTCTGGAGAATATGTCTGATCTTGAGGCATTGGATTTCCTCACTGTGACATGGAGTTTCCCATCTTCTTTAATCTCAGCTTCAGTCTCTAGTGGTTGCCTTCCATCCAATGACATGACATCAGAGTCCACATGGATGGAGACAATGGAGCCAGCAGTGTCAGGGAACTGCTCAGAGATTAGCATTCTGGCACCCCTGAACTCAAACATGAACAGCATCAAGGTGTACCAAATGATGCACTGGAGGACCACAATTTGCACCATTAGGCTCCCTGAGAACTCACCGTACATCCCTTTGAGCAAAGGGATGCCCATGACCAAAGTGTTTGGGAGGGTGGAGAGGGAAAACAAGGTGATGGTCCACTCCAAGCAACCCCTTTTGGTGAAGTTGCTCCAAACTGCAAGAAGGACTAGTATTATGATCTTCTGAAGGGTGTCAGCAGCTAGGAACCTAAGGTTCATCTTGTAAGGGTTGTTGGATGCTATGAAGTGGAAGGAAAGAAGAGGCACTGCAAAGAGTGCCACAAAACGGTTGATGCCAGAACATTGATCAGGGGAGAAAATCTTCCACCACTTAACTGAGCCATAGGCTAGTATCATAGCCACATAGAGTGGCACCATTGCAGTCATGACATGGTAGAAGTCTATTAAGGTGATCATTTTGTGGCTTGTGAAGTCTGAGAAAGATAGTAGAAGTGAGGAAAGAGAGTGGAGGAATATGTAAGAAAGTTGAGAAGGGAGGTTTGGGTGAGCTAGAGTTAGAGTTGGAGTTGGTGATGATGATGATGATGAAAATTGAAAAGATATATAGGGATGTGGAAGAGCATGTGTTTTTGGGGCAGTGAGTGAGTGGGTGGTAATATGCAGCAGAACACAGCAAATATTTTTTCAGCTTTGAGAGCTGCAAGCAAGGTTGCACTTGCAGTCCCCAAAGCACAAGGCAGAGTGGGGGGGTATTGTTGCCTTTTTATTTCTTATTTTTTTCCTTTACCACTTTGTTGTTTTGCTTTTTGTTTTGAAGTGTGTTTGGTTTGGTTTGGATTTGGGGTTTGAGAAGAGATGGGGGGTATTTGATGGCTTTGGAAACTTGTGTGGGGGTGTGCCTCTCCCTACCTTCTATTCTATGGGTCCTAAAATTGTCACAAAAAGCTTAGGAAAAGCATTTTGGGTTGAGGTGGGGATGTCTCCAAGTACTTGTTTTTAGGAGTGCTTTAAGCTTTGTAAAGGGACTCTTTCTCTCTGGATCCACGGTTTCTTTATCAAGCCTTTCAAAAACCAAAAGAAATGTGCAAATTTTTCAAATTGTGTTTGTTTAATCATAATACTACTTCAGCAAACCATTGTGAGCACAATATCACTGTTAATAATTATGTCTTGCTCAATATTGTGTCTGTTGAAAGAATCAAAATCTGCTGCTTATTTCTTTTTCTTTGTTCTTCTAGTTGGGGAATAACAGTTCAAAGGAAAAGGGCAAAAAGACAACTAAAAGAACATTGTTATCATTCAAAAAAGAGAAAATTCTTTCTACAAAGTTATTATTCAGTTCAAAGGAGAAAAAAAAACATCAAAATTGAATTTCATAGAGAGAGTAATGTAAACTTCTATTATACATGATGATGACTAAAGAGTATAATTGAGTTCCGATTAAAGTTGGTTAACCAAATTAATTGAAGGTGGTTTGATTTTTTATTTTATTTAAAAAAAAAGGATATTAGTTCTTCTTCTTCTTCTTTTACAGAAAAAAAAGGTATAATTTTTTAACAGCAATTTTTTTAATGGTGGTTTGGGTCGAATCAAACACAAGATTATTCAGCAAATTACAAATCTTTATAAACTCTGTTTTTCTTTTCATACAAAATTTAATTCAAGTCATTCATAATTATTAGTATTTTGCCATCAATGTTTTCCTTGAAGAAAAGGATGAAGATGGTGAAAGCAAAATTCTTGTCCCCTCACGCGCATGGTAGAAGATGTACTCATTTTTATGGAATACGGAAAAAAAAAAGTGTTTATATGAAATTAATGTATTTGCACTGTCACAGAAAATAAATAAATAAATAGCATGTAACCAGAAAAATGTATTTGTACTAAACAATCTTTATAGGTTTAACAAAATATATCCTAATTTACAAACTTGAAATACGATTATTATAATATTTTTGCAATGTTGAAATTTGCAATTTAAAAAAATAGTTTTGATTTTCATATTCATTAAACGAGATTAATTTCGATATAATTTGAAGTCTAATTACACAACACAAATATACTCATAATGCAAAATCCTTTTTCTACCATTCTTCAATTACAAACTATAACTTAATGTGGTAGTTAATTTATGAATTGTTGGCTTGGCTAAATTTCGTTAGCTTTAAAAATTATCTGTTTTGAAATTAGTAGATTTTGTAATGTTTTTATACTTTATATTTAATAAATACGCTAATTTATTTATAAATTTGAAATTTTATAAAGAATAGAATGTATTTAATTAATTTTAAAACCTTATAAATAAAGGAGTAGACAAATTATTTTTTATAAAACTTTTATCTCGTTAAATATTTTTATTATGATGCAGTAGTTGTGAAATTTTAAACATTTACGAAAGAAACTATAAGTTAAACCTATAAAAAAAATTATGATATTCTCTTCGATTAAAAATCTTTAAATATTAAGTTTATGAATTTTTTATTTTACGTAACTTTTTTATCTCTGTAGATATGATTTCAACTCTTATTTGAATTCAAACAATATCTTTCTCAAATTATTCTTTTTCATATTAATACATCAACAATTACTTTTTATCTGTATTGTTATGTTTTATTCGAAATTCTTATAATAAAAACTTTTAATATAATAATTCATAATAATTAAGTTTATCATTCTATAAATCATCAATTCTAATATCATTATTAAATATTTTTATATAAGATAAAAACTAAGATATATTCATAAAGAAAATCACGAATCAAATATATAAAATAACTTGAATTTATTTTTAATTCAATATTCATAAATGAAATATATAAAATAACATGACTTTATTTTCAATTCAAAATTTAAAAATATGTTTATTGGATATTTTTATTTCAACACAGACTTATATTTGAATATAAAAGAATATAATTTATTAAAATAAAAGAAGTGGTGGATGAAAGAAAGAGAGAAGAGAGGACAAAGAGAAGAGATGAAGAGAGTAAAAAGCATCACGTGGACACGTATTGTCCTTTTCCTAACTCTATCTTCCAAGAGCTTCGGGTTCATTTTGTTAGGTGGGATAATATCAATACTTTTTTTTTACCTGCATTTTTCATTTTCCAAATTCCATTTAGAGTTGTTTACTTGAACCAATAAAGCTGTGAACACTTAACCGAATTGTAGTATTAATTTCATGACAGAGAGTACAAAACATATCTTGCAATGTTTGTAATCAGATAGTAAAATATGAAGAATCTGCAAATTGCAGAACCTTGAAACCAGAAAATTCATTGTTACTTCTGCTATGGACTCTTCGGTGACGCAATAGTTACCACCGCTCAAACTCTCGACCCAATGAGATCTGATACGTTGGATAAATTAACTGATAATCTTGTTCGAGTTTTTGAAGTTCAAAGGGTTTCAAAAAATGTAATTTTAGGTTTGAGAAGGTGACAAAGGTGTGATTTTTGAAGATTCATATGAAAGTGATGAAAGAAGTGAGGCATTTGTGAAACAAAAATGATAATTTTTCAAGTACGGAAAGTGTTTGGAGGAGAATATTGGTCTGAAGCAGCATATGCAGAGTTACCATCATTGTGTTTCATGGCCTTTCCCCAAACCATCATCACAATAATAATAATAAAAAAAAAAAAAAGCTTCACTTCATCACAATTCACCACCCCAATGAAGCATATGGTTAATACATATACATAGTCATGAAATCAATTTAAAAGTTTTACTTTTTGTTTGTTTTCTGTGTTGGATGGATGAAGAGAGATTTGTGTAAATGAGATGAGTTTGTTTCATCGATGAGAAGTGATTATGAATGTTTGTGCATAATTTTGTAGACGAAGATAACAACAAATTGTCTTTCTAAAAATTTTTTTTTTTTAGTTTTACTTATATAATAAATATAATTTAAAAAGTTTTGAAATGGAGAAAATACGAAATTAGGGTGATTTGAACTATTGTTACTTTGCATGATTAATTTTTCTTTTAAATTTTAGTTGAAATGATAATTTTTTAGGTCCATTTTAAAGACTAATAACGAGTATAACTACAAATTGTAGGAAAGTAGATTTGAAAGTTTGTGTCAAACCAAAAATGGCAATAAACATGAAAAGAAATGATCATAAATTCATAATGAAAAGCATAATTGGTTGTAAAAGGGAAGTGTTACCAAAAAATCAGGTAAACATGACTTTGTTTTTGACTAAATGTTGAAACAAAATGAAGCAGCATTAATTAATAAAATTACTATTAAAAAAATAATAAGTACCTTTCATGATTCTAATTGGTGTGTGCATATTAGGGTATAAGTCTCCTCAGACTTTTGACCCATTTATTATTTGATTAACAATAACTTTTTATTTATCACAAAATTAAGAGAACATAAGAGTGTGGTGGAAATGCTAAACTTTTCTCTTTTAATCAACACTAACTTGTCGTGGTAAACAAATTTATGTAATGGTTAGTTGGGAAAAACATTGTTTATTTGAAAAAATAGAGACTAATAAAAAATTTATTTTAAACACTTTTTATTTTCTTTTTTTGTTGTAGTAATCTTTTAATTTAACAACTCAATAACACTTCTTAATTAATTGAGTTAATTTTTTTATTGTGAAGATCAATCTTATTAATAGTAATAATAATAATAATTAAAATATTAACTTTAACCCCTAAATATGTGAGGAAAATTAATGTTCTTACGTCTATTATTTTTTTTTCTTATTACATCACGTAATATTATTTTTCTCAAATTTTTTTTTCACATCCGTCACAAGTTAGAAGAAGGGATATGAGAATTTCAGTGTATTAGCCAATTTTTTTTAGTGAATCAATATTTTTTTTAAATACCTAATTGATTTTAAAAAAATTATAGCTCTCAGCAAAAATTTTATATATATGCAAATTAAAATAACATATTTTATGACATATTTAAGAGATAAGAAAAAAAAAGTGTATTCCTCCTTAACATAAATATAAACAAAAATTAGTCACGTTGATTAAATTTAAAATAAATAAAATCAACTAATTAAATCTTATTCAATGTTACTATTTCAAAAATATATTCATGTTTAAATATGAACTTCATTCACATTAAACATTATTAATAATACTCCAAAGATGTATTTCTCTATTTTATACAATACAAAATATTAAATAAATTTAACTATTATTGTTCATCAGTATTAAACAAAATTATTTTGTTTATATTTAATATAAGAGATATTCCTTTTATTCTCAAAAAGATCACGGTTTAAAATTATTTCATATAGATTAAAAACAAAAACAAATATAACCCTTATTAAGATAATTTTAGTAAAATATTTTTTTCAATAAATACACGACTTTGATTAAAATAGAAAAAAGTAATTAATTTGGTATTTCACGAAAGTTTAAAATAATAACCAATTTATTTTTTTATAAGATTAAGAATTTTCTTTTTACCGTATTTATTTTTTATAAAAATAAAAATAGGGAGAAAATAGTTTGTTTGTTTATTCTACTTCTATTTTTAAAAAATAAGCTTGTCCAAACATATTAAAATTACAATAAAGAAGAATGATATAATTATTTAATGTTATTTTGGGAAGCAAGGTAAAAATAAGACAAAGATAAAAATAAAAAAATAAAAAATAAAAAATTGAAGGTCTTAGGAAACATAAAAGGGCGTTGCAGAGTGTGTTGTTTGTTTGTTTGTTTAGGGTTTTGTGTTTTGAAAAACAAAAAAATGTGTGACTCACTCACTCACTCACTCACTCACATGTCAATCAGTGTTTCTCTTTTCACTTTCATTCTCTGCTCTTCTCCTCCACCTGCCCTCCATCATTCACTTCAACACATCATGTTCTTGTTATCATTTCTCCATCCCAAGTTCTCTCTTTTCTTTTTTATACAATTTTTCAATTTTAACGTGTAAATTCCACCCCTCACTCAAATTATAATTAAAATTGAAAAAACGCCATTATCATGCACATTTTATTTCTTCGGGATGAGAAAGATGTGTTTCGGAAATTGGGGATGAAGGTAAGAAAACCAACTTTTTTAAAAGGAGAAGCAAAGATAAAATGATACACGTAAATGTTCCTTTTTTTATATTACCAAAGTTTTAAAATTTCTTTGCTGTGTGGATAGAGTTATCATCATAAAAGCATATCTATGTGGTTTCACAAAGGATTTCAATGTTGATTTTACTTTACAATGTTAATTTATAATTTATATTTTATGATGAATGATGTCAATATAAATATAATTTTATGCAAAACATTGTCTTTTAAGTTTCAAATTCTATTATCAACATGTAATTGTTTTCACAAATTGTATATTTTAAAAAAAAATTAGAGTTAAGACGGTTTCTATGATTTAGAACATTATTTAAATTCATCTTTAAAATACATTGAGTATAACAAGAGTTTTTTATTTTATTTAATCTTTTTCGTGAAATTTTTTCTCTGATATATAAAGAAATCAAATAGATAAAATGGAAATGAATATATAAAAATGCTTTGAAGGGCTCATTTAAAAGTTTACCAGAGTGATTTGCACAAACAAAAGAAAAAAAATCTAAAACAAAAGTAACAGAAAAGAAAAGAAAAAGACAAAAGAAGAAAGTTTTAGATTACCTTCAAATCTTTGGTTAATCCCAAACTTTTGCTTTCTCATCATAGGCATAATTACTTGATTTATTACACTTTTACTTTAATTTCAACCCATAATAAATATTTAACCGTTGACTAAGAAAAATGTAGAACTTAATTGCTATCATGCACTTAATTTTTTTAATGAAAGGGATTTACAATGCATAGGATTTAAAACAAAACCTATATTTCACTTCATATTTTAAAGCTTTAAATTTTTTTAAAATTTGCTCCTCTTTATATTAATTATGGACTTAATTATATATATTTATTGTATAAAGTTGATTAAACAGTTTTATTTGATTAACAGCAGCGTCAAGGGAAATTTATATGAAATGGTTTAATATTAAACAGCATTTTTTAAAGTCAGACAAGTTATATATTCAACAACATAAAAAGTTGTTCTTAATTGTCTTGTTTTATATTTTTCTTCTTTTCTGTTTAAAATTGTTTTAGAAGAATTGGTGTGAAAATAGTATTTCAAACTGAAATGCTTAGATGTAAAAGTGAATTGAGTGACATGCTTGGCACTGTTTTCTTTCGGTTCTTTTTGTGTTCACAATGAGTACAATTAGCCATGATTAGTTTCTGATAATATTTGAATCTTGTACTGGAAGAAATATTATGAAAATATAACTTAATTTTCATACACTATTAGTCAAAGTTTTTTTATTATTGATTTTTTTTCAATAAAAATCAATAATCATGTCAGTATAAGTAATATAATGAACCTCAACCTTTTTTCTCAAAGTAGCAGAGATTGCTTAACACCAATCAAAATATATGAAAGATCATTTTTATCCATACCAGACAAACGGACAAAAAAGAAAAGCAACTCAAATTTGAAGATAAGTTCAATTTTTGTGTTCCGGCAAATGATTTTAGATGTTGGTGAATGAATAAAGATATGACTTTTATCTAATTATTAAAAGCCCAATGAACTTAGACTATGAATAATGATCTGTAAATAAATAACAGTGTAAATTTTTTTTTATTACTATTCTCTGTTATAAAGATTTGTCAAAGGTACGGTCCAAATGCTGAGAAAGGTAAAAAGTATATCATTCAATGAAAATCATTTGTTGATCCTCTTTGAAATATAAATATTTTCTATGCAGTGAGAATAATTTAAACCACTTAAAAACAGTTCCAAGTGAAACAAACTAACTATACAATGATAACAAAGATTATGCAATTACAGTTTGATCCAGAGTCAAAAGTGTTATATGGCATATACATTATTTTTGTTATCATCGTATGAATGCAGATGTCATATACCATATTGGACCAAATCAATGCGTTCATCGCCACAATAATATGAGAGCAGAAGGTAATATATAGGTTACACATGAAAAAATGAGAGCTTAAAACTGTACTAATGCATCGCAAACCGGGTATAAATACAAGTTCAGTGTGTTCCTCAGTAAGTCTTTAGATAAACTTGACCTTAAGTTATGCAGTACAAGGCAAAAAGCCAGCTTATATTCATGAAGTTGTTAATACACCCTTAGAGCCAGGAAGATCAATCCACTGCAATTGAATTTCCACTTCCCCACATTCCACATTTTGCAATCTAAGGATCATATCTTGGACAATCTTGCCATTGACATAAGTGATGCAGCTCTCATCGGCCAGGAAGTTCTGCGCGCTTGGTTGTATTCTTGTGAGTACAGTACCATTTGGAAGGCCAGTTAAGTCGCTCTTCAAGGCTTCTATAAAGGGAAAGATATCAAATTCTGCATCTCCCATTTTGTCATCTTTGCTAAAGGTGTCACGGTCATACACTGTCTGCAACAGAAAGGATCATCAACTAATGATCAGTCTAATTGATTGATTTGTCAGACATTAGAACATCTCAGAAAAAAAATTCACCACAGGGGCAGAGAACATAACTATATATTTGAGAACAAATTACTTATGTATGAGGATTGCAAACAAGATTTTATGTGAAAAGTTTTTGCTTGGTAGTTGAGGTAGAATTGATTTTGCTCCCAAAAGCATGTTTGACTGTAAAACTTTAGCCTATCTTTGGTTACTGTTTGGACTCTTCCAACTAACATTTGTCTTAGAAGCCCGTTAGTACAGTTACATTTGAGCTGAAACTCTGTAATTTCTAAAACGAATGTACTTTTAGGGTGTTGAAACAAATTTCTAATAGGCTCACAAAATCAAATGTATTTTTCAAATGCTTTTACAAACCTAATTTACGAAATTAAATTTATTCAAACTTAATTTTTTGAAACTTCAAGTCAAACATGCACTCATACTAAGTCCATGTTCGAATTAAAGTTTGCAAACTTAACTTTGAATGAACTTTATTTGCAAACTGAGTTTGCAAAACCCTTCCTCTACTTCCATTCTCAAATTGAGTTTCAAGAAAAAACTCAGTTTATAATCCAATTGAACTCAATACCAAACAACAACCTTTATCAGTGTACTTTTTTAACATATCTAGGAGTCCTCCCAACTGAAAACCAAACATTCTGAATGAAAGTTCCAAACATCACTTCAAACACACTCTTTGAATAAAATTTCTAGGCAGAATAATTTCCTAAGTCGGTTTACTTTTCAAGGTATGATATATGAAATGATAAAATCTAATACGTCAGAATAGAGCAATTCATGAAGTTGCATATTATTATTCAATCACAGATAGTCTCAAAATGTTCAGGTTTGCAATGTAGATCGTGTGAACACATTCTGACTTTTGTTCTCATAAAAACAACTTGTTTTTCCCCCAAAAACAACTTGTTTTTCCCCCATTGAAGAGCCAACAAAAACATGGCTAACACCTAATATTAACAACATGTCCCATTAACCCAAAACAAAAGAGGAAATATCTACAACACCATCTTTCATCTGAACTGAAATTTACTAACTACAATAAATTTTACAAATTCAATCACTCACCAGTTTAACTTGGTGATTCGGATCTATAATAGAAAGCGTAAGGTCTTCATTCCATTCAGGATTCACATCCTTTTTAATGACGCGAGTCTTTAGTTTCTGCAAACCAAAAAAAAGGTAACCAGGAGGGGTCAACGATGTCTTAATTAAACAAGATCTACCATGAGACAAATATTGCAATTAAAATGCTTCAATTTCAAACACTGGGGTTAAGAACTAGTGATCACAATGGCACATACACCCCCATGTTATGATCATCATGCAAGTCAAAGATCAATTAAAACATGACAAAAATTTAGAACCTTTACCCATTTAAAACCTAGAGAGAAAAACAAGATATTTACAAAAATCAAAGGGGAAAAAAATCTCCAAAATCAACAACATAGGGCAGCCTAGATAGCGAAAAAGATTGAATTTTTAAAATGAAAATGGAAAAATGAAGACAAGACCTGATTAAACATCCTGATGACAACATAAGGATCGCTGCTTCGGACATCACGAACGGCAAGGTTGACACCGCGCTTCACGCGAACCCTCAAAAGGCCAAGCAGATTTTCCATCAGAGACTTTGGTATTTTATCTATTTCCTCCATTTCTCTTCTTTTATTTACGATTTATACTAATAATAATAAGATAACACTTTCTGTAAAATAAAAAACAAATCGAAATTCATGAATAGATTAGTTGTTTATTGTGAAATTAATTAACGGGTTATTACGTTGTTAATTGAAAAATGAAACGAGAAAGGGAAAGTGTAAGTGGGCCCCACCAGAATGGGACGTTGGTTCTAGAAGGAGAAACAGAATGCTTAGATACAGAGGGAGAAGAAGAAGAAGATGATCTTTGAATCGTGTTTGTTCGCGTATTTGTCTTTTTGTGAGGGAATGAGAGGTGACATGTGCTTTGGTTTGGTTTTTCTTTGACTTTGAAATAGTTGGATTGGATGGATATGACATCACTTCAACTAATGTTATGATCTATCTTGTATTAAGTCATTAATCATTTGTTTTATTTTTTAATATTTTTAACGTTAATTTAATATGTTTTTCATGATTTTATCATTAATTATTAATTTATAACAATATATAAACATCATACTATATTGGGCTACATTTTTTAAAGATTCTTATCATTATTTATTTCGTGGTGGTATTAGTCTATCATTAAGAATAAATAATTTTACATTTTAATAAATAATTTTTTTAACTAAGTGTAACTCCAAAGCGGTTTTTTTATTTATTTATTTAAGAAACAAAAAAGAAGTCACACAATTTTTTTCAAATCATTTCTAGTATTTATGTGATGTTGATATAGTTTTCTGAAAAAACTGCCTGTGTGAGATATGTATAAAAGCTTGTTATTTTTATTTTAATCACTCTAGCCATTTATTATTCTACCTAAAAAGAAACTAAAATTAGGGAATTTAATTAATTTTCAAATGAAAAATTTTAAGATGAAAAAAAATTCAATACATAATTGTTTTTTAATTCTGAGATTTTCAATTTCCCATCCCAAAACAAGCGTGCTGATATCTGAATTTCTTACGATAAATAATAACGATTAATACTCGAAGATCTTGAACATACTATTCCTCTCGGTTAAAAAAAATGTAAAACAGTACCACTTTCACCATCATAGCATTCCTTCTAATACTATTGAACTTCTCAACTCTTCTTTAAGAAAAAACTAAACAACAATTTGAACAATCAGCTTTTTTTAACAGCACTAAATGACAAAATGTATAAATCTAAAACATGGCAAATAACAGTTCAAGGGATCGATAGTAACAATAATATTTTGATCAAGGAAAGGCTAGCTTCAAAAATTTACCTTCTCTAAAATCAACAATACTACATCTTGTTAAAATGTAGCCATCAATTTAGAAGACTCGCCCTTAATTTACATCGATTGGTCAGTGACCAAATCAAACTCCATTTTCAACTCTATCCATTTAATCAAAACCAAATTTTTAAATATAGCAGGCATGGCAGACGTTGCCTTATTCTTTCATACAGATCAAAGATTTCTTTAATCTTTACAATAACAGCAGCTATGACAGAAGAATAATTTTTCTAAAAGAATCAATTGTTCAGCAAAACCTTTTTGCCTATATATAACTCTAATACCACATAGTAAGCAGTATTGTTCTAAAGAACCAAATATGTTCTCTCTGAGAAACCCAAATGTTTTTCCCTTCCGACCAATCGGGGCAAAAGCCAAGAGCATAATAATTTAAGAAAAAAAAAGGTCAATAAAAGTACTCAATTTAGGCTTTAATCCTCGAAGGTTCTCCAACAGCACTCTCCATTCTTGTATACCACTCACCAATACGGGTGTGCTCCACCATATCCTTGCCAGACCTCAAATAGCGTATGGGTTTTAAAACCCCAAAGACAGCCAGGTCGGCTAAGTTTGGTTTAGAACCTCCTGAAAAGACAGAAAAGTAATCATTGTATCATCCAACGAATGGATCTTTTGCATTGATATTATAATCTCCTTAACAAAACAGTGGAGTTCATACCAAGGAATTCCCGGCCATTCAGAGCTTCTACCCATGTTTCTGCTGCCTCATAAAGAGCAGCACGTTCATCAGTAATATTATATTTCTTCTTCAGCTTCTTAGACACAAAATACATAGCTGCAGCTCCAGCAAACTTTACCGAAATTTTTTCAAAATAGCCGAAATTGCCTAAGTATCAATATAAACAAAATATCAGAACACATTAATTTTTAGGGTTAATAGATCAGGGCAAAAGAGAGAAGTTTAAATAAATTAAATTAAGGGTTCTTTAAGCATGATATGCATGGGCTGAAAGTAGATAATGCACAGTATGCACGGAGAGTTTTGAAGAAAGATTAATTCCTTGTATGTGTTCTTTGTATGTACATTAGGGAAAAGAAAGAGAATACTTCGCCCTTCTCTTCCTTGGAAAACTTATAATTGTGGTCCATGCGAATTTTCAGTATGGCAACAGACTTTGAGACCAATGTTTCAACACCTGCTCCAACTTCTCCACCTTCACTGTACCAGCCTTCATCTCCAAACTTTCCAATGGCAAATTGCAAAGGTATTCACGCCATACACAATCCTTATCTTATTTATATTTGTGTAAGTTATCATAATGTTTCTTCTGTTCAATATGTTTACACCTCTTCCATATCCCTTGTTTCTGTTTCTGTTTCTGTTCCTAAAGTTATCTGGGAAGCACTTTCGCATCTAGGATGTGTCAAGCAATAATTGAGGAATGTAAGTTCTGGAACTAAACCAAACTTAGAAGATGGTTCTTCACCTCTATAAAAATCCTGTGGGCTGGAGGAGTTGGGTCTTCGCCATAAAAGTAATTAATTTCAATCAAAAGATAATGGTGATACGGTGATACTTCTTTCTTCAATTACCAAAAGGCTTCAGTGTACGTTTTTCTATCCACAATGGCTATGAATTAATTGCCTTTACACCAATTGGATGTCGAAAATGCCCTTTTGTAGGGAGAGGGAGATTTGTGAAAAAAAAAACATATATATATATATATATATGTGTGTGTGTGTGTGTGTGTGTGTGTACATAGTAACCTCCTAGTTGGTAATTTGGAGAATTCAGTTTGGTGTTGCACACTTCAATGATTCAAGGTGAAGTATATCACTCAATCTTTAATAAGCATTAATATAATTTTTAATCTATTTGGTGGTTATGTAGCTGTATCGTCATAACAGCAAATTGTCATACTATAATTCAGCAGGAGCATCAACCTCATCACTTTGGAACAAAATACTCGGGTCAATTGAGATACTTTCTTGTTATTGAAATTGCTCAATCAAATCTGGTATTGTTATGACATGCTTAAGCTTTTGGGATTGTAGGTTCATGACATAGACTAAGGGCTTTCATTTAATATTTCAGCACTAGTTGGATCGGCCCATACTTTATCCACACTTTAAGCCCAAAGGGTTCGTGTGGTGTGCATGAAGGAGCATGTTAGAAATATAATATACTAATATAGAATTGTTCAAGTGTCTTCACCTAATAGCTTAAGCTTAGTTGCTGCCTCAATACAGATTTTGTAACAAAATTCATGCTTATATGAAAAGGGAAACCCATACAAAAGAAAACTTAGTGGAAAGAAACATAAATCATAACACATTCTAAAACAAGTGTAAAAAGAATAATAAAAGAGAAGTATTTCCGTATCAAAAGTCAGTACCAACTTACCGTTGTTTGTAATATACTCAAAGGATTCAAGTGCTTCAGATGTATTTCGATAAATGTTTGGTGACAGAACATGCACCAAATGGTTATCAACCCACCTATTTCAGAAGAGGAAGTTAAATTAGCCTATTAGATATGCATGCTAAAGCTAAAATGGGTTCAATCACTTCTTCCAAATTTCTTGTTTGACTTCTCTCAGAACATGAAAAAATTACTGACAGCATCTCAAGTTGTCATATTGGATCTTAAAATCTCTCAATGAATGGCATTGACAGCAATCAGGGGTGGAGATAGAGTAAAAAGAATAAGAGTGGCCAATGAAAAATATTTATTGGTAAATCATTATTCATTTTGGAAAAATGGGGCGGAGGGTTGCTGCGTTATAGATAAGGTCGTAGAAACGCCATGTTGGAAATATTAACCCAACGATACAAATAAAGAGAGTCAAAAGTAAACAATTGAAAATTAGAAGGTTGACTAAAATCTAACCCCATAAAGATACATAAGATTCCTAACATAAATGTGTAATTAAAAATGACTGAAATCAAGTCACTACACTTAAAGAAAGCCAAAAACTAAACTGGATCATAAACAAAGGGAGCAGTGACTTAATTTATACTGTTTTGACATAGTTATAAATTATCAATGACTTGGTAGCACAATAGCACACTGCATTTATACATCAAACTATCTTGTAAAAATATAACTCAAATGTCTTAAAGCCATCAGTAAATATATTTTCTTCAAACCTAAAGGTAAAGAGAAAATAAAGGCAGAGTAACTGAGAAAGAAAGAAAGAAAGGTTTATCCTCTAGTCTCACCCACCAATCTCTCATTTTAATTGGATCACAAATGAGAGAGTGAAACTGTAAATAGCTTCAATCATATTGTAAAAGAAAATTTTCTTCCTCTTCACCCTCTTACATTTATCACACATGTGCTCGATTAAAAAAGAAAACTAAGCCAAAAGAAAGAACACCCTACCGCCGCCATTTTGTCTCTTCATCCTCAGAAGTTGGATCTGCAATTTTCTTTGACAGAATCTTAAGTCCCAGCTTATCAATTATAACTGCAAAAACAAAAAATTACAGTGGTCCAGTAGGCAGAAGTCATAATAAAACTTACCAATCAAATTTCAAGGGAAAATGTAGAAACCTGATGAATCATTTAGCTGCTCGCCATCTACCATCAATATTGGCACCTTCTGATACTCAGACCATTTGATTTCTTTCTTGCTGAGAGGGTTGACCTCCACAACTTTGTAAGGTATGTCATAGTAGTCCAAAAATGCTGGTAAAGCAAGTATAAATATCAGTAGCAGAAACAAGGATAATATAAATTGCAAAATCTCAAAGCAAAAGCTACAGAAAATAAATATAAATAAAATGTATATTTAAAATTCTCACACAACTCTAGAGGAATCTATTAACTCCAAGGTACAACCTCCTACCACTCAACCCGCATCCTTCCACGTGTTTGGGATGAGATCACTAAAACTATTAACTTCTAAAAATCACGTCGTGGACGTGAAAAAACACACCGGAAACATGGAAACAAACAAGCTAGAAGTAGCCTTTGCATGATTATCAAATGTAAAAAAATAAAATTATACATTCTAAATACTAGTTAATTCTTCTCAATCAACTTCATCTCTCGACCAATAATAAACTTACTAAAAATATAAGTAAATTTCAGGTTCAACATGACAAATCTATGAATGTTGAATTTATCTAAAATTCTTACACGTTATGATCATCATAACATAACATAACATCACACGATTCAGAGATTTATAGCGGTTAGGTTTAACCTTTGACTTTGTTGCAGAAAGGGCAAGCCTCGAACTGGTAAAGAACGACGTCGCGTGGAAGAGCCTCAGGCGGTGGAGGCTCCTTGGCGAAGGCTCCCTGAGACACGAGGGCACCGGCGACGCCAAGAGACGCTGCGGCGAAGGGAGCTAGGAAGGAGGAGAAGCGGCGGCGGTGAGAGTAGGAGGCGGAGGTGGCGCTGCCGTGGAGAAGACGATGGTGGACGGCGTAGGAGGTGGCGCGTGAGGTGGTGAGAGTTCTAAACAGAATGGAGGGTACCCTTCTCATAGCGTCGGGGAGATTGATCGATTCGCAACAGAAGCAATTCTGATCTGAGAGTTGGAAGGGTTTATGTGGGTTTGGTGGATCCACGAACACACAGGGTTTTGAGCTTTCAAAGACTCTGTGCTATCCACGTGATCAAAAACTTTTTCACATACTTTCTTTAATAATTATTATACTGTTAATTTTTAGGTTTAACATGATAATTTATACCATTTTCGATAATGTATATGTAAATGTAAATTAGATTTTAATATTATATTTAGTAATTTTTTTTATTTCATTCTATAAAAAATAATTAGATTTACGGTATTACAGTTATGGCTGATCCAACTATTTTTTACAATGGAGATCTTTAAAATCGAATAATATTTGTTTGAATATATATTTTAATAATAATAATGTTAAATGATTGAAAATCAATTGTAATACAATCAATTTTTTACACATAAATATCACAAAATTAATCTTGATTTGAGTGTAAAATGATACGCGAGGTTAATTAAATAAAACTAAATCCGATTTGTTACATAAATAAAACAGAAATTAATCTAATACGTCCAGAAATAAGTTTAACTTTAATTCTTAACATTTATAAACATCGATCAATTTAGTTACAATTTATCCTTCTCATTTTAAATATATTTTTAATTGTCCTCAAATAATAGTTGGATTATGATTTTAACTAAAATTGGATAAAATAGATATTTTATATAATAATTATGAAAAATATTTATTTTTATTTAAATTAAAATATTGTATATATTATATATATTATTAATTATTGTTTAAATTGGTAATCATTATAATTAAAAAAATAATTAATTTTATATTATATAAATTATTAAATTATGTGAATATAAATAAAAATTTATAAGTTTTAAAAAATGATAATAAGGAAAATAATTTAAAATTAAGTATTGAAAAATAAATTAAAAAATATATATATTCCCACATCATAAAGTCCAACAAGGCATGAGAAGTAAATGAAATCAAATCATAAAACAATTTTTTTAGTGATGAGAATTAAAATTTTAACAAATAATTATTAATATAAAAATATAAAATAAAATATTTTAATTATATTAAAAATAAATATTTATTATGATTGCTTATAAAAAACATATATTTATTATGATTATTATATAAAAAATAAATAAATGAAACAAAATCTCACATTAAAGAAAAATAAAAAAGTTAAGTAAGAAAAAAAAGTAAGATTCATAACATAATCCAATTATTTAAGGTTTTAAGTTGATAATAATATTGATTTTATATAGATTGAATTTATGTCTTATTAATATTAATAAATGCATGATAAACGTTAAAATCATATATAACTTCTTATAATTGTTTGTTAAATACTTTATACAAAACTGATGAACTTTACATTTAGTTATCCACCTGTCTATTTGCTACTTATGTTGTTTGTTCCTTGTTGGATGAAGAGTTAATCATCTCTAATTTCTTCTTTGCATTTTGATTGCTATAACACGTTGTTCATTTTTATGGTAGAATTCATCTAATTTGTTTAAATGATTAGTTTGCATTGTGTCTCAAATTGATATTAACACAATTTTTTTCCAGGATTTCATTCATCTTGTTTTGGTAATTTTAATGTCCTTATTCATTCTTATTATCTTTCAATGTATTTACTGCTTCATCGATTCTCATGGATACAGTGTTTATTATTTATTAGTAAGAAATTAAGTTCTTGATTTATTTCATTAGAAAAATAAGTATTGACCAGAGGATTGTTGTAGATAATTTTTATTTTATTTTTTTCGAATAAGCGATGTAAATTGATACCATTATACGTAAATTTAAATCCATTATTTCAAGATAAAAAATATATACAAACACAAAGGAAATTCTAAATTGAAAAGAGAATCTTATTAAGTATTAATTTAAATAAGATTAAAAATTGCATCACCTCTTTCATTTGCCTTAACAAAATATAACATTACAGTAATTCAATATTTGATTTAGTATTTAAAAATAGTTTGAGATAATTTTGAAAAGTAGTTGGAGAAAAAAAACTATTTGATACCTCTATCTTTAAAAATTATTTTAGACAAAAAAGAATAATAAATGATAATGAAAATATTTGTTTCTATTAATAAAAATATGAAGTAATTTTTTTCAATTTTGATTTTTTTAGTTTTTAAAAACTAAAAGTAATGAAAATAATTTGTATCTATTGATAAAAACATTAGTATTAATTATAAAAAGAAGACTTTCATGATTAAAGATAACACAACAATATACTAGTAGTTTCTTCATCTATCCTTTTCGTGAATTTTTTTTAAATGTTTAATAAAAAAATTGTTATTGTTGGGTATATTTGAGAGAGATTAAAGGATGTATTAATGAATAAGATCATAAGTCAATTATGTAAGATAATATGATATCATTCTTAACCAAAAACTTCGACATTAGATTTATAAGTATTTTATAAGTTATTCAACTTTCTTATTTTTACTCAAAGTGAGATTTTAAATTATATTTGGATTTTAACAATTTTTCCTTCAAATGTGATTCCTTCTATATTGATATATTTCTTATTGGGCAAAAAAAATTATTAAAATATTGTCATTCAACACAACAATATTCACTATGCCTAAAACTCATATAAAAAAGGCTGGCAATACACATATCCATAACATATAATACATCACTTATTTCATATCATCCTTAATTAAGTCGATCACTAGACAAATCATTACCTCTTATACCATTGATAACTATCATAATAACATAGATGGAACAACTCATAAAATTAAAGGGATCATCATTAAAAAGTTTTATATATTTAAAAAATAAAATAAAAAATGTGAATTATAATTGAATTTAAAAAAAATGAAATTTTGGGGGTTCATTACCTTTATAGCCCCCTTACCTCCGTCACTGAAGAGTAACAACATAAAAAATTATAATCAAAGTTAAACATGTGAAAAGAGGAACAAAACTAATAATAGGTAGTAATATAATTTTACTAATATCTATGTTTAAATTTAAGGAGGAAATATTAATACCCTCTTTAGCAATAGGATGTCAAATTTCTAACTCACACAGGTTGACTCATCAAGAATTGTCGAGTCAGTTCAACCTGATGTATTTTCCTATAAAAAAAAATGTTACAATTCGGTTCGACCTATTACGAGTTAATGGATTGATACACTTAAATATGTATCTTATTTTTTAAAATATTCTTCAATATTTTAAATCACTAAAATAGGTGGATTAACTTACTAAAATAAGTGGGTTAGGTGAATGATTCAATGGGTTGGATAAATTAGAAAATTAAAGATTAGGAAAAATTAGTCAATCCACTACCAACTCAGCTCAAACTCATTAATCCACAAGCTAAGTGAGTCGAACTTGTAAATTTTTTCAATCCAATTCAATCTGAACCAATGGTGAGTCAGGTTAACTCACATGTTGTGACTCATATTAATACCCGTATATAAGATAAAAGAACATAAGTATTATGCAATAGATTAATAGAAAAAAATACCAAATTATAACTTTTCTTCTCAAAGTTATATCTCATTTAAGAGCATTTATTGTATCTGCTTTTTTTTTCAAATATTTTAATACTTCTCTTGAGAATTTAAGTGTGAGTTTGAAATTCCACATTAGATAGAAATGAGAAAGTTGAGTAACTTATAAGTGAGAAAGACTCATAACATATTGTCTTAAGATTTTAGGTTGAGAATGATGTCATATTCTTTTATATGGTTGACTCTTGACTCATTTGTGAGAATCTTCCTACTAATAGTTCTCTCAAAAATATCTAACAATTTTTACCATGGTTCTTTCTAGTTATAAATGACAATATGAATGTTCATTAGTGTGGTAAGTCAATTATCCAATCAAACTCAAGTAAATTGAGTTAATTCTTCTTCTTTTTTATTGATTTGGTCAAACTTAACCAAATCTAATCTCCTGCCGTTGAATAACTAATTTTGTAAATGGATACCCAACTCACTAGAACAAAATTCTTAAATAATATTAACATTAATAATAATAATAATAATAATAATAATAATAATAATATAACTATTATATAATTTATTCAATTATTATATTAATTAAATATTTATTTTAAAATATTATATTATTAAATTATTCAAATAATAAATAATATAGTATATTTAAAAAAATTGAAAAATCTAAAAAATTATATTTTAAAATTAAAAAAATTATTAAAAAAATATTTTTAATCTGATACCCAATTAATCAAATTTAATCTAACCTAATTAAGGGTGTGTTGAATTAGATTGAATGAATAAGTTGGATCCTTCACCTTTGTTCCTTTCACAAAAACCAATTTGTAGGTACTTTCACATCTGTCTCCTAATAAATGTGGTGCTAAGTGTTTCTTCACCTGTCAAAAGGCCACGGATAACCATCAGACATACTCTAAAGTGCTTCTTCATCTTCCAATAAGGAATTTAAATTCTACCTTTTTAAGATTTTTTCCATTAACAATTGACAGTAACAGTTTCAACCATGCACATATTTCCATTGATTTTTCAAACTTCTTGCTTATGACAATTCTCTAGATAATATTTCTGTCTCAGATGACAGATCAATAACTAAATTTCTTATTTGATTAGCAGATATTAAACACTGTCTCATTGTGAATCGAGCAAACAATCACTGTAGTGGAAGATGACAAAAGTTAATAAAGAGATTGAGAAGAAGATGAATAAAACTCACTAAAAATAAGTGAGTTAATATAAATTTAAGAGACAATGAGATCATTGATTTCAATCCCCCTACTAATCATTTAGACAAATCCTACTACAAAATTACAATTTCATCACCATACTCTTTGATCAAATAATGATCATTTCACCAGGCCTCTAGCGATCATTTCACAAATCAATTTCTCTGCCTTATCAATCTCATTCTTTTCAAAGAGAGCATGTATGATTGTACTGAAAGTTATAGCATCGGCTTTGCAACCATTGTCTTCCATTTTAGACAACCATGTCAATGCCTCATCAAACAAACCCTCCTTACAAAGCCCATTGATCATAACATTATAGGTGTATTGGTTGAGTCTGACGCCTTTAATCAAAAGATCTTGAAAAACTTCTTGTGCAGTCTTAAGTCTTCCTCCTTTACACAATCCATCAATAAATATGGTGTAAATGTATATATTTGAATAAAATCCCTTCTTTATCAGTTTCCCGAATAATGCAATGGCTCTATTTAGTTCATTGTTTTTGAATAAAGCATCTAACAAAGAACTATACATGGTTATTTTTACTGGTTGACCTCTATCCTCCCTCTTATCAATGAAATTCCAAACACAAGATATTCTCCCAAGTTTGCATAAACCATCCATAAGAGAAGCGTAAGTTACCATATTAGGAGTTATATTTCTTCCATGCATTTCCTCCAAGAGACTCATAGCGTCTTCCACCCTATTATTCTTACATAGTCCATCAATCATGATGTTATAGCTGACAACATTAGGAGTTATTCCCATTGCCATCATAGTATTAAATGCATTCTTGACATCCTTTACCTCATTACTTAAATAAAACGCATCCATTAAAGTATTAAAGCTAACAACATCAGGTGTCACCGAAACTTTCAACATTACAGCTAACACATTTTTTGCTTCTTTCACCCTTCCACTTTTGCATAATGCATCAATTATAATATTATAAGTGTAAATGTTAGCACAAATTCCCCTAGCAACCATTTCAGTATACATATCATAAGCCTCATTTGTAAGTTCATCTTTGAATAGAGAGTCAATAATTGAGCTATACATTACCACGTCAGGCTTAATTAACCGGGCTTCAATTGTTCTGAGGAATTGGATGGCAGCTTTGGTTTCTCCTATCTTGCACAACCCATAGATCAAAGTCCCGTAACAAACATGATTGAATCGAAATCCTTGTGCTATCAATTTATCATGAAGGTTGAGTGCTTGCTTGACCTCACCTTTGAGACAGAGACCTCTGATAAGTGTAGTGAAGGTTATAACATTTGGGTGATAACCCAACTTGAGAATGTTGGCGAATACAGAGAATGCCAAAGTCACGTGATACAAGTGACAAAAACAATTGATGAGGAGGTTGAGATTAATAAAGCCAGGATCAATTCCCCTAAACTCCATCTGCTTAAGAAGGGAAATTGCAGTAGGGTAATGCTCCATCTTCACAAGGGATCTCAAAATCTTGCCAAATTCGATCTGGGAAGGAACAGGGCTCATAAGAAGCAAGCAATTGAATTGGGAGACTGCGTCCTGAATATTCTGATCCTCAAGTAATAGTAATGAGGATTGAGAGTAGGAGTGAGAGCCAGAGGACAAGAGGGTATTAGGGTTAACAAGAAAAGGAAGAAACTTGGGAATGGAAAGAGAAGGAGAAACCTTGAACCCTTGCAACCTTTGCAGGAACATCGAAAGCGACATTGTTCTTATGTTGTGGTTTGCAGCAAACAACAATAGGATCGATTGTGTCTCACACGATGGGAAGTTTGGTTTTCAGGAATAACAGCAGGTGCTGAAATAGTTTTTATTTAAGCCATACATGCATCATTTTCAAAAATCAGAATTATCAACCATGTAAGAAATATTCTCTTTTAAATAATTTTTTTTATTTCCTATGCCTAAATATTAAGGTAAACACCACTTTCAAAAATAATAACTTTTGTTGTACGGTATTTTTCATCCAATCAATTTCTCTCTAAATATAATTCAGTCTCATTGGTTATCTTTTTGTTAATAGTAATTTTTATTATTATTATTATTATGATTTTATTAATATTTATTAATTTTATTATTAGTAATAGTATATTTGTTGTTTTTTAAAGTGATAATAAGTACAATAATAAAATTAATAAATACAATAATAGTAATAATAAATTTCTAATTATATAATAATAATAAAATAATATAATTATAAGAATAAGAATAAATAATAAAATTAATAACATTAATGATTATAATAATAATAATTATTATTAATTTATTATTAATTAAAAAAATGTATTATTAGTAGTAGTATACTTATTATTTTTATTATTATTGTTATTTATTTAAAATGATAATAAATATGATAATAATAATTTTAATACATAAGTATAATAATAAAAAATAGATATAATAGTACCTTTATATTTGTATAATAATAAAAAAATTATTATAATTATCATTATAGAAATAAATAATAAAATTAGTAATATTGATAATTATAATTATAATAATAATAATATTAGTAACATTATTATAATAATAATTTCTTTATTATTATATTTATTAATTCTATTATTGTTAGTATCTTTATTTTATTATTACTTATTTAAAATGATAATAAGTATAATAATAATTTAATAAATAATAATAATAATAAATAAGTATAATAATAATAAAATTAATAAATGTAATAATGAATTTATAATTTATAATAAAAATTATTATTGTAATTATTATAATAGTAATAAATAATAATAATAATTTATTATAATTATTATTAATAATATATGTTATGAATAAAATTATTGTAACAATTAATAAAAAATAAATAATTATAAAAATATTAAAAAGTATAAATAGTATATAAATACAATTTCATTAAATATATATAATATAAAAATTTAAAATCGTAATTGAAGTCATCTTTCAAAATTTATTCATAAAATTTGTTAAAAAGTACTATTTAAGAGAAATTTAAAAGCAAATTATATAACTTTTGTGATGTTGTCCCCTAATAACACCTCTTGCTCTTTACATAAGAGAATATAAGTTCTCTCTGAAGCAATACCTAAACATTTAAATAAATAAATAACTAAAACAAAAGAGTAATAATAAAAAATTAAACATTTAAAATATTATAAACTTTAAATACTAAAGAATATAAGTAATGTGTTAATCTAATTTAGTATTTTAACAGTAGAATTTTATAAAAGTTATTAAAAGGAATTTTTTGGTTATTGTGAATCTTGTAGTAGGAATAATTTGTTTAAATAAATGTAAAACTGTCGAGTAAATCAGAAATTATGAAAATAACATTATTTTGAAATTGGAATTTGATGATAGTTAAGGGATAAAATAACCCAAACAAAGTAAAAAAAATGTAGAATATCCTATGATAGTTCTTAAATATATATAATACATTATGTCACACTATTATTAAATAATTCATACACTACAAAAAAAATGCTTATTATCTACGAGTAAAATCTGTAGGTAATGTCACTTTACCTATGGATTTCTTATCATAGAAAATCCGTATGTAATTTTGTCGTAGGTAATGCACTCATTGGAATTACCTAGGACCCGTGCACTCGAGTTGGAGGTTGATACTCCAACCACTAAGCTATTAGGATATTTTGATAATAATTTACAAATAAATTATATTTATATTTATCCAGTGTAAATATATAAATATAAAATATATAAATATAAAAAATATATAAATATAAAATATATAAATATAAAAAATATATAAATATAAAATATATATAAATATAAAATATATAAATATAAAATATATATAAATATAAAATATATATAAATATAAAATATATATAAATATAAAATATATAAATATAAAATATATAAATATAAAATATATTTATATATTTATATATTTATATATTTATATATTTATATTTATGTATTTATGTATTTATATATTTATGTATTTATGTATTTATATATTTATATATTTATATATTTATATATTTATGTATTTATGTATTTATGTATTTATGTATTTATGTATTTATGTATTTATGTATTTATGTATTTATGTATTTATATATTTATATATTTATATATTTATATATTTATATATTTATATATTTATATATTTATATATTTATATATTTTATATTTATATATTTTATATTTATATATTTTATATTTATATATTTATATATTTTATATTTATATATTTTATATTTATATATTTATATATTTACACGAATAAATATAAGTATAATTTAGTTGTAAATTATTATTAGAATATCCTAATAGTTTAGTGGTTAGAGTATCAGTTTTCAACTTTAAGATCTTGGGTTGGATTCTTGCTAGTGACAATTCGTTTAGTTTAATATAATTTACCTACGGATATTATCCGTAGATAATGGATAATTACTCACGGATAGAATTCAGTAGGTAATGTACAATTTACCTACGGATTTTTATCTCGTGGGTAATAGGGTTTTTTTTTTTAGTGATATTGAAATTTTATAAGGGTTTAGAATTCATAAATACGCATATAATTATAATTTTTATTTATATTTTACTTGTAAATTTAAAAAAATTATTATAATAAAATGTTAATTTAATTTAATATTTCCATTTAAAACGATGATAAGGTTTTAAATTTTTATAATGACTAAAATTTCAGATTTTTTTTATCAAATTAATTCCTCTTTGAAAAATTATAAGATCAAAATTAAAATTAAACAAATTTTATAGAAATTTAAAAATACTTAAAGAAATATTATCATAATATTGATTTATTAACCTTTTTCTCATCCAGCAAATATTCTTGTAGAGGTTTCTTAAATTTTAGCAACTCTTGAGGATGAGAATGAATCAAACTTAATTCTGTTCTGTGGATTCAATCACTTAGGAAAACAATATCATATGATCGTAAAAATACTTTGTTGTATGTTCAGGTAAAGTTACTTGACCCTTTTATTTTATTCATCTCAAGCTAAACCGGTAAATAACAGTAAAGTTTAAATGTAAATAAAAATTTATAATTATATGTGTATTTATGAATTCTAAACCCTTATAAAATTTCAACATGAATTATTTAAAAATAGTGTGACATAATATATTATATTTAAATGAAAAAATATATTATTTATAAAATCTATCATGGGATATTTTTTTTTTTTAGGATTTAGGATTTAGAATTTAACTATCATCAAATTTTAATTTTAAAATAATTTTATTTTGATAATTTCTAATTTACTTTAACAGTTTTACATTTATTTATTTATTTTAACAAATTATTCCTTTTAATAGCTTTTATGAAATTCTACTGTTAAATTTCTAAATTAGATTAACACATGTTACTTTAAAATTCTTCTATATGTGTTTAGAATATAACAAATAAATCTATTTTACATGTATATTATAAGTAATGTAAGGAATAACTAATAAATATACATTATGTGTGTGCACACATAAAAACTTAAGTTGATTTATTATAATCCATTAAAAACTTTTGTTATACAATATTTTTCAACCAATTTAGTCCTCTTTAAAAATTATTCAGTTTTTAAATTATTAATTTTAATATAATCATTAGTTATATTGTTTTTAACAGTAATTTTTATAAAAAAAATTTAACTTAAATGAATGGAATTTATGAATTCTTTTTTTTACTAATAACTTTATAATTTATATAAAAACATATATATATATATATATATATATATATATATATATATATATATAATAAACTTTATTGTAATAATTAACCAATGAAAAATAAAACTTATATATTTATTAGTTTTTAAAAAAACTTTTATAAAGTAATCTTAAAATATTATTTTTTAAAATTTATTTAATAACCTTAATTTAAAACTATTTTAGATAAAATAAATCACATTATTTGCGACGAAAAATAATCAGAGATTTAAAGATAATTTCAACAACTTAATAATAATAAAAATAAATAATTTAATGTAATTATATATATAGAGGAGATCAAATATATTTTATTAATTTTGATTTTTTTTAAATTTAATAAACGACACAAATATTTAGAAACAGTTATAACGTTACCAAGGTTTTATAAATTTTAAAACTGAAAAATATAAAATTAATTTTAAAAATAGACAAACAAGTCCAACATATATTTATAATTTTTTTTATGAAAGATTTTCACACTTTCCCCACTAATTGCAAAATATAATTCACTTTCATTATTGTATGAAATTATCAAAATTATTTTTTTAATGTGTGTTACGATTTTTCGTCACAGTCAAAAATAGTTTTCTAAAATTTATTTATAAGATTATTTTTTAACTCTAAAAAAATAAAACTAAATTTATCCTTCTTTTAATGTATAATTTTATTCTCTCTCTATATATGAATGAGGTATATTTAAACTAAATTACATAAATTTGAATGTTTAATTGATATATAAATATTTATGATTTTTAAAATATTCTTTACAAAAATGACCAATAATCATTTAATTAATAAATAAAGATAATCAATTATAATGATACGTTACTACTTCACAGCATATAAGAAATAATGTATTATTCAATTTTTGACATAGATAAATTTATCACTTTAAATATATACTTTCTTTATGAACTGTCGATCATGATAATTACATATCAATTATCATAGATAATAATCGATTAATTTTTAGAAGAATATATATATGACATTTACAAGGTTTTTAGGAGAAAATTTTGAAAAATTAATCAACCCCAATCTTACGTTGTAATTATATATTATATATTTATTATTCATATTATATTATAGGTTGTAATTATGACTAATAAACTATTTTTTCTCCTTAAAGTGAAATTTAAAAGTATTTAATTTGTATAACTATGTGGTTGAAGGAATTAAACTTGTATATTTTACCCAAATTCAATGTGTGTTACTAATCAAGTAAACTTCATTGTATTAAAGTTTTTAAACTGTAGTTTTATTCCTAAAGATTGAACACATAATTTATAATAATTCAGCATAATTAACTAATTACAAACTTGACAAAATTTAAAAATTATTAGATTAAAATGACTCAGTTTCCCTCAAAATTTTAATTTTTAATTTTATTCTTATTTTTAAAATTGAGTGTTTTAAATCTTCAAATAGTATGGCAACAAGAAACTTAGCAGAATCCATTAATTCAGTCCTAAAAAAACAAGAAACCTCCCAATATGCTCCATGATGATGACAGCATACACTCGTTGCAACAAATTCTTTACAAAAAGAAGTAGAGAGGTAGATGCCATGATCACAGCTGGTCATTTATACTCCGAAGTTGCTTCAAAAACATTGCAAGATGCACACTCAAAGACGAACACTCACAGGGTTATCAATTTCGATAGATCAATCACAAGATTTGTAGTGGAGGAGACTGAACATCCGTGAGAAGTTCGACCAGCAGGGAGATTTGCAGTTAGATTAGATGAGTTATGGTGTGATTATGGGAAGTTTCAAAAAGTTCATATGTCATGCTCGCATGTACTTATAACATGCAAACACGCACATCATGACTTTAACATGTACTTCGCTTCAGTGTATACATTACAACAAGTTTCTGAGGTGTATGAGCAACAATTTGGAGAACTCAGGCATGAAGACTATTGACCAACTTATACAGACTCAACTTTGTGCCCAAACCCAGAATTGAAAAGAACTTCAAAGGGTCGACATAAGTCAAGCCGAATAAGAACAGAGATGGACATTATAGAACAACATGATCGTGTAAAAAATTGTTCATATTGTCATACCTTTGGTCATACCAAGAAAACATGTCCCAACATTACTCGTGCTTCCACTTCACGTAGTTAATTTATGTTGTTTAGAAATTATTTTGTTTCATCTATTATGTTTAGATCAATGTTATTAATGAAGTTTTATTTAACGTCTTTCATGTTAACTCTAAACCTTAAACTAATCTTACCTGACTGCTGTCTTTTCAAATGGTGAAATTATACACAACGAACAAGGTGTAAGCTTTCATGGTCCATTGCCTAATTTATTTCGAATCTCATACCAGTGTACCTTCATGGAGCTGAAACAAAAAATATGTACTGTTCTAGCTCTTCCTCATGAGACAACATTCAGAAAATTGTATTATCGTAAACCAAATCTGAACGGTGAGAATTTACTAACATATGATATCATTCTTATATTAACTAATGTTCATGTAGTGCAGATACTTGCTTGAAAGTTTAAATTTTTTATAGATACAATAATTGAACTTAATGTCATATTGGTCAAAACACCTGAACAAATTATCATGTTTCTAAACCCACCTCCCACAACCTCTTCATCAAACGATCAACCATTACTTCTACAAAAGCCATACTTTATTTCGGCGGACCTCTCCAACGTGCTACCATTAAGGAATCTCCATACGATTTTGGACTTATTTACACAAGCTTTTATCTAAGGACAATGGTAGTTAAACACAATTGGTCTTTCAACCAATTTTTTCAAAGAATTAGTGAAATACTGGATTATGGAGACCGTAAATAAATAACAAAGATTAATTATCGACGTCCAATCCAAGTTATCAACAATAAACTATTTTACGACTCCATAGAAATCAAAACTGATTCTGATGTACAACAAATAATTAGAAGATGGAAAAAGTCTAAAACAATAAATAGAAACGTACAACGTGACCAAACATGAAGAAATATTAAATTATTTATTGAAACTATTGATATGCGCTATGCAATAATCCTTGAAGAACTTCAAAGAGATAGTAGTTATATTGACAATAAAGGAAGAGAAAGATCTACCATATTATAAATATTGTAAATTAATTTCAATATAACTATTTTAATTCATTTTCATTTAAGTCATTTTAATTTCTACGTATGTCTTTTATAATTAATCATTTTTCAATTACAAGGTATCATTTATTTCTATTTCAATTAATTAATTTTTCTTTAATATTATGTTCTATAATTTTTATTTTACTACTAATAACTTATTTTTAATTTTTTTTTAATTTTTTTTATATTAAATTTATCAACTTTTTTCTAAAATTATAACATAAATAATTCATATAATTTAAAAAAATATTAATTTTAAATTTTCTATTCAAAAATAAATATATATATATAAATATAATAAAAATTTATTATTTAATATTTTTAATAATGATTTAAATATATTTAAATAATTTAATATATATTTAAATAATATATTATTTTTATTATTTTATATATAAATATTATTTAAATTTTAAAATTAAAATTTTATTTTAATATTAATTTTATATAATTTTTTTTATTTTTAATTATATATTTTATTTAATTTTTTATTTTAAAAAAATGATAAATTTAAAATTGAATTCGGATTACGGAAACTGAATTTGGTTCTGTTACGTCTATATATATATATATATATATATATATATATATATATATATATATATATATATATATATATATATATATATATATATATATATATATATATATATATATATATATAAATAAAAGTAGTTAAATAATATAACAAATTTATTATTTATTATCCTGGACCAAAACCCTGCAACAAAGTTCCCTTCTTCCGTTGAGATAAACCTCAGCTCTGAAAGAAAGGGAGAAAACTAAACAAAACAATGGCAGCAGTTTCTAAGCTCACACTGTACGGAATTGGAACTGCAGTGTTCCGTGCCCATCGAACCGCACCTGTAACTGCCAATTCTTCCTTTCTCTTCTTCAAACCTGTTCCCTTCCCGCCACCGCGATTCCTCCGGCGCGCCTCCTGCTCTTCCACCGCCGCCGCCGCCGAAACCCTACCCTCCGTCGACCACCCCTGGCCGGAATGGGTCTCCTTCGTCGATCGCTTGAACGCCAAAGGATACCTCCCCAAATCCTCCTCTTCCGACGACACCGGAAGCGTTTACACCAGCATCAACTCTCTCAAGGACGCTTGCCTCAGCTTCGCACGCGACCGTTACGACCTTTTCAAGTTCGTTCCGTTCCCCTTCTCTTTTTTAAATTTTGGGACGTGATATTTGAACTTGTTAGGATGGGTTTGGATAGAATTATTTGTGAACACTTTTAGAGAATGAAAATGAGAAAAAAAAAAAAAGAGGAAAAGAAATGTTGCTTAATGAGCTAAAATATGCTAGCTTACATATAAGTTAATACGTAGAAGCTTTTTATAATTTTGCCTCCAAAAAGTATTTATTAAAACGTTAGTCCAAACAATATCTTTATTACTTGGTCTGTGTTTGTTGATGAATGGAGGAAGAAGTTGTTCTTATTGTTGGTGATTTGGAGTCTCTACAAAATTTTTTATAAAGACTTTTCTGTAAATGAGTTATCCTGTAAGTTCAAATTAGCTTATGCATAAATTAATTTGTAGAACTTTTCCTAAATTTTTATGTTATTTGACTTGTGCATATGCTATTTTTTTGTTATAAGTTTATTTCTTTTTTTTTTCTTCTAAAATTTCTTATGGAGAAGTTTTTCAAAACATTTTTATTCAAAAGAAGTCATGATGCGTGTTGAATATAGGGTTAATTTCCCTTATGTATTTACCACACATAGGGCAGTGTATTTATAATAAAGAAAGGTACTCCTCAAAAGAGTAACAAAATACAAATAGGGTAAATAAAAAGATATTATTTGATATTGTGATTAACAATATCTAACAATATCTCAACAATATCAAACAATATCAACTAATATCTAATCATATCTAACACTCCCCTCAAGCTGGAGCATACAAATCGTATGTGCCTAGCTTGGTACAAAGATAATCCATCCTAGGTCCCCGTAAAGACTTAGTGAAAATATCTGCTAATTGATCACATGAGTTAACGAACTCAGTCTTGATGTCTCCAGACATAATCTTTTCCCGAATAAAATGGCAGTCAATCTCAATGTGTTTAGTTCTCTCATGAAAGACAGGATTAGAGCTTATATGGAGAGCAGACTGATTGTCACACACTAGTGTCATTTGAGTGACATCTCCAAATTGTAGCTCTTTAAGCAATTGCTTGAGCCAAATAAGTTCACAGTAGCCGAGGCCATAGCTCTATACTCGCTTCTGCACTGGATCTTGCCACAACACTTTGTTTCTTACTTTTCCATGAGATCAAGTTACCACCAATGGAAACACAATACCCGAGATGTAGATCTTCTATCGAGAGGAGATCCTGCCCAATCGGCATCCGAATAGCAGACAACTCTTGTATGATTATGGGAGTCATACACCAAACCTTTTCCAGGAGACTTTTTGATGTACTTCAATATACGGATGATCGCATTCCAATGATCTTGACAAGGAGAATTGAGGAATTGACTCACCATACTGATCGCAAAGGAAATGTCGGGCGAGTAACCGTAAGATAATTTAATTTTCCAACTAATCTTCTATACTTGTTCAGGATCCGACATTGGCTCCCCCGATTTGGCAAGAGTTTGGTATTAGGATCCATGGGTGTGTCAACAGGCTTTGAATTCATCAACCCAGTTTCCTCCAAAATATCCAATGCATACTTTCTTTGAGATATAACAATGCCATCGGTAGATTGTGCTACCTCAATACCCAAGAAATATCTCGAGTTTGTCAAGATCTTTGGTTTGAAAATGGTGGCAAAGGTGTTGTTTCATCTGAGAGATGCCATGATGGTCACTACCTGTAAGAACAATGTCATCGACATACACTATCAAATAGATACATCCGAGCATTCGAGTGACGATAAAAGGCTGAGTGGTCTCGCCTCACTTCTAGTCATGCCAAATTGTTGAACAACGTCGCTAAATTTTCCAAACCAGGCCCTAGGAGACTGTTTTAGGCCATATAAAGATTTGCGAAGACGACATACCAATCCAGAAGACTCCCCTGAGCAACAAATCCGGAGGTTGCTCCATATAAATCTCTTCTTGCAAATCGCCATTCAAGAAAGCATTTTTGACATCCGAGTTGATAAAGAGGTCATTGTTGAATAGCAGCCATGGCAATGAATAAACGAACGAAGCCATCTTTGCCATCTGGAGAGATAGTATCACCATAATCCAACCCAAAAATTTGGGTATAGCCTTTGGCTACAAGGCGAGCTTTGAGGCGATCAATAGTACCATCGGGACCAACCTTGATAGCGAAGACCCACCGCAACCAACAACAGATTTTCCGAGATGGTAATGGGACAAGCGTCTAGGTTCCACTAGTCCGAAGAGCACCGAGTTCATCTAGCATGGCCTGACGCCAACCAGGGTGGGCTAAGGCTTCGGAGACAGATTTAGGAATAGACACGGAAGAAATAGACGAGAGACAGGTATAAAATGGTGAAGAAATTCGATGATAACTTAAAGCGGTATAATGTGGAGAAGGATTACGAGTAGAACGCGTACCTTTACGAAGGGCAATAGGAAGGTCGGACTACGTGGACGAAGCCGGAGGAGGCGAGTATTTGGCACTGGGAGTGAGTCATGTGGCGTCTGTTGTGGGCGAGGTCTGCGACTATAAACCTGAAGGGGTGGTGGAGGAGGAGGGGCTAATGGTGGATGGTCCTCAACATAAGGATCAATGAGAACAGGAATGGGAACTGTAGCGAGATGGAGACTCAGCAGGTAGGGAAGGGTCCTTAAAGTAAAAGGAACCCTCATTGAAGGTGACATCGGCGAGACACAAAATAGCGATTAAGAGAAAGAGAAAAACACTTGTATCCTTTTTGGGATCGAGTAAATCCTAAGAAAACACATTTGTGTGATCGAGGAGATAACTTATCATGACCAGGATCAAAATTGTGGACAAAACAGGTAGACCCAAAAACCTTCAGAGGTAAAGGATGGAGAGTGTCATGAGGAAATAAAATAGAATGGGGAATTTTGTTATCTAAAACCGAAGAGGGCATACGATTAATAAGATAACAGGCAGTAAGAACAGCATCACCCCAAAAATGTTGAGTAACCTCACCATGAATTAAAAGAGTACGGGCTGTTTCAATAAGGTGTCTATTCTTGCGCTTAGCCACCCCATTTTGTTGAGGGGTATAAGCACAGGAAGTTTGATGAAAAATGCCATGAGAAGCCATAAATTGTTTAAACGAGTTTGAAAGATATTCACGGCCATTATCACTTCGAAAAGTTTGAATAGAGACACCAAATTGATTTTTAATTTCATGATAAAAGTTTTGGAATATAGAAAACAACTCAGAACGATTTTTCATTAAAAATAACCAAGTACAACGAGAGAAATCATCAATAAAAGTAACAAAATATTGAAAACCTAAATTAGACTTAACATGACTGGGTCCCCAAATGTCGAGTGAACTAAGGCAAAGGGGGATGAGGCACGCTGGGAAACACTACGAGAAAAGGAAGTACGACTATGTTTGCCTAACCGACGGGACTCACACACCAAATTGGACAACCGGGATAAGCCGGGAACAAGTTGCTTGTAATTTGCGCAGACCGGGGTGACCAAGCCGAGCATGAAGGAGAGAAGGAGACTCCATAAGCTGTGCCAATATGTGGAGAAGGTTGAAGATAATAAAGTCCATGTGACTCACATCCGGTGCCAATCACTCTTTGCGAGCTCCGGTCCTGTAGGGAAACGAAGTTTTGGTAAAAGAGATAACACAATCAAGAGATCGAGTTAGACGGCTAATGGATAATAAGTTAAAGGGGGACCGGGTACATACAAAACATTATCAATGGACAACGAGGGAAAAGAGTAATCGTTCCAATACCATGAGCTAAAGTTGTAGACCCATTAGCCATTGTAACGAGGGTAAATTATGAGAAGAAGTGAAAGAGGAAAATAAGGATTTGTTACCAGTGATGTGATCGGTGGCGCCGAGTCAAGAACCCAAGGGCCAATAGAAGAAGAGTGAGTCGGACCAACGAAAAGATGTACCTGTGTGGGCAACGAAGTAGTGGAACTGGAGGGCTTTCGATCCTCATACCATTGAAGAAAATCATTGAAGATAGCAGATTTGTCTGAAGGTACAGACGAAGGAGTAGGGATGGCAAAACGGGCCGGCCGCTCGCTTTGGCCGGTCCCGCCTTTGGCCTCGCCAAAAGCGGGCGGAGCGTCGGCCCGATATAGTCATGACGGTCGTAGACCTTGGCCCGCCCCGCCAAGGGGCGAGTTAGTGCTGTGGCGGCTGGCCGCCATAATTTAGAAAAAAATAATTTTTTTAAATAATTTTTTTAATAAATTTAATAATAAGATTATTATTTATTTGTCAATAATTCAATATATATATATTATTTCAATTTAATAATATAAATCAATACATTATTTTAAGAAATTATAATTTAGAACAATAATAAAATTTACATAATAATAAATAATAACAAATATATATATATATATATATATATATATAAATAACGTTAAACTTATAAAATTTATATTTTTTTATATTGTAAAATTCAAATACCTATATCTTTTTTATTTGATAAAACTTCATATTATTCTTGGTTGAGTAATTCTTATATCTTTAATTCAAGTAATAAGGATAAATATAATCAGTGCTTAGGATAAATAAGGAGAACATGAGATAATGTTATATTTCAGGAAGGAGAATATTTTTCGTGAGAATGAAACTTTTTTAATTCTCTTTTTAAAATTTTTAATTTTATATATTATCTTTATAATTAATTTTATTACAATAAAAAATTATTTTTTTATTAATTAGGCGGGCCGCGGGCTGGCCCGCCCGTCCGCGGGTTGGCCCGACGGGTTGGCGAGCTTGGCGGGCGGGCCAAAGCGGGATGGTGGGTCGAAAACACCAACCCGCCCGCCATATTATGGCGGGCTGGTGGGCCAGCCCGCCGGGCCTAGCCCGTTTTGCCATCCCTACGAAGGAGGATCCATAGCAGAGGATTGTGCGGAAGAATCAGTCTGAGCAACTGCAGCAGATCGGCGAGGATAACCATGTAAAGCATAACATTTGTCAATTTTGTGGCCTAGTTTGCCACAATGGTCACACTTGACACGCCCTTTGCCTGGCTTGTGAGAGCGATTACGATCATCACGGTGAGAGGCCAAGGCAGATGAATCATTAGAAACTACAGGGGGAATATTGAGAGGTTTACATGGCACCCGCAAAAGGGAGGAACTGGTAACGGTAAAACTGGGTGTAACAGGGGAACCCAAAATCTGGTCACGAACAGGGGCATATTTATCAGCAAGTCCGTGTAACATCAAAACCATGAAAAACTTTGATCGTTGCTCTAATTCTTGGGCAGGAGTCGAGGCAGGGGGTAATAACTCATTAAATTCATGGAGAAGAGCATGGATCTTACCCACATAATCCGCCACAGGATCCTTATCTCGAGGAGCAATAACATCAAGAAGATTGTAACAAACACCATAAAGACGTTGAGTGTCATTGGTGTATAATAATTTGGCTTGTTCCCAAACGTCATAACATGTGCCATACGATCGAAAAATTTGTTTTAAAGAAGATTGGATGGTATTCTTGAGAACCATACATATATGAGCATCAACTTTCTTCCAACGGACACGATCATTGGAAGGAACATCATCTACCTTGGTAGTAAGATGATCAACATACCCCTGACTCTCAAGCCAAAGTCTAATATCAGATGCCCAAGTTGCATAATTCGTACCATCTAATTTATCAATGGGTAAATTCACATTGACATAATTAGTAAAAACAGATTGCTCAGACCCACCGGAGCTGACAGAGGTAACTTCAGAATTGGAAGTGGCAGCGGAAGATGCCATGGAGGAAGAGAGAGAAAAACCCTAAAACACCAAAGAGGTCCGATTGGAGCAGCGAGGACAGATCCAGAGAGAGGAGAAGGAGGCGACGCCGGCGCAAAGATCGGCGGCCTGAACGGCGGCGAGACGCGCCGCCACGCGCGGCGGAACGGGAGAAGGTGGCGCGGCTTCGGGAGGCGCGTGAGGGAGCGTGGCTGCTCCGATGACCGCGAAACTTCCACGGTGGAGGTCGCACGGAGGAGGCGAGCAAAACCCTGTGCTCGGCGGTCCGAACTGCTACTCTGGCGACGGCGGCGGCGGCGGACGGCGGTGGCGACGGCGGCGGCGATGGAGGCGGCGACAGCTGCAGGTTCAGTGGCAGAGCCGAAAAAAATCCCAAGAGACTTTAAGCTCTTGATACCATGTTGAATATAGGGTTAATTTCCCTTATGTATTTACCACACATAGGGCAGTGTATTTATAATAAAGAAAGGTACTCCTCAAAAGAGTAACAGAATACAAATAGGGTAAACAAAAAGATATTATTTGATATTGTGATTAACAATATCTAACAATATCTCAACAATATCAAACAATATCAACTAATATCTAATCATATCTAACAATGCGAATGGTTTATGGTTTATATACACACACACACGAGGTTATTATATTACGAGGAGTGCTAGGAACACAATCTCTTAATCATTAATTTTAATAAGTTTCAAATAATGAGAGTGTATTAAAAAGGGTGTATGGTGTGTTTTTACATTTCTCTTGTTAATTGTTATGTTATGCAGGTTGCTGCCAACGAGCGATATCCAAGCAGTTGTTGAGGGAGGGTGCCCTAATCTTCTCCGGAAATCTGTTAATTCAGCCAAGAGGCTGAGAGCACACTTGCAATTAGATGAAGGGGATGTATGTGTGTTAATGCATTTTTGAAAATATTGTCAGAAGTATTCATGGTCCCAATTTATTGGTTGCACCTTGCAAGTAGCATATTATTGTGTGAATGAAGATCTCATGCTGGTCTCAAATAGTAGTAGTGCGGATCTTCACTCAATAATGAAATGCTAGTGTTGGAGATTGTCTTCTAATAGTATTTCTTCTAGTTAACGCAGCAAAATGTTAAATGTTATTTGATAGTATTGGCTATGAGATCAGATTTTATTTTCTTATTACTTTTTAAAATTTTCCTACATGATTTTGAGGGGCCATTTTATTTCCCTATGGTCTGATAAGGTAAGTTTGCTTCCATCCAGGTTTGTGGTGCGTGCAATCTACGAAGCTCTTGTGATAGAGCTTATGTAATTCTAAAGAATTTTGAAACTGATGCCCGAACTGTGGATATAGTTCGAATACTTTTGTTCTATGCACTAGATCCAGTTGTGCTTTCCGGAGGAGACAAACCACCTGGCCGAGAAGTTATGGAATCATCTGCCAGAAAACTTCTTTGTCAGTTGATTGAATTGAGTGAATCCCCCAGTCCTGCTCCTGCCCCTGCACTTGCTCGATCAAAGCCTACTACACGGGATACTGTGCGAGAAGGCCAGTCTCTAAGTGTTACAACGTTTAAAGATGTTGAGATGAAGAAAGGTGACTGGTTATGTCCAAAGTGAGTCATTTTTGCTCATGGAATCATATTCTTTGTGTGTGTAGTAACTCTTTTGTCAGTCTTGCCAGGTTTTTTTCTCCAGTGTGATAGTTTTTATAGATAATACTTATTTAAAAGAATGTTGACCCTTAAGAAGAGTGTATTTGTTTTATATCCCTTTTGTGAATGATCCAAGTTTATTTTCTGAGTGATAGTTTTTAGTGATGGTAGTCGATTGAAATTATTTTCGGCTGGTGGATGATTTGATTGATTTCATATCCCTTTTGTCTGTAATGCACTTCTTCCTTATCATGAATATTGATGATTTAGCTTTCAACAGTTATTTGTTCTAGTGGAATTGTTACATGCTGTTTGAATCTTAAATTAGATCTCGGCAGTTTAATAATCCACGATAAGAGTTTTACCCAAAATTTCTTGTATTGTAGATGCAATTTCATGAACTTCTCCAGAAATTTTCAATGCCTGAATTGTAATGATGATAAGCCTAAGGATATAAACCCGCCCACTGTTCAAATGAAGCAAGGGGATTGGACCTGTCCCGAGTAAGTCCTCTAGTCGTTTACTAGCTTTTCTCCCATGCAATAGTCAATTCTATGTGTATTTGTCAGCTTCCTTTTCAAAGAGACTGTGATAACACAAGTTAATTAAAAACAATAGAACTATATGAAGTTCCTCTTAACCTCTTCGATGAACTTTTGTCTTACAAGTTTTATTCGATGTTCTGTTCATATGCATGTCAAACTGACTACTATCTTAAATGAATTGTATTGTGAGATGTTTCTTTTATTTTTCCTTTGTTTTATATTGATGCAGTCATAAAATACATGTGTTAAATTATCACTTATATTGTTCTTCTGGTCTGCTGATGGTTGCTCTTTGGTTTTGGTACAGATGCAATTTTTTAAATTTTGCCAGAAACACACGATGCCTAAAATGCAAAATGAAGGGGCCAACAAAAGAAGCCAATACTATTACTAATGAAGTTGAAAGGAAAAAAGGAGATTGGACTTGTCCAGAGTAAGTCTCCTATTTTTCACTGACAAAAAAAAAACCATTGATCCTATTTTTAGTTTCTATTTGTTATTGTAGAAGATGAATCAATTTTTCATTTCAATAATTCAAATTTTGATAAATGCCAGTAAATTTAAACATAGATAACTTTCAGTAAACATTTTGCTAATCTGTCTATATTTTGTTACCATTATTTCCTTTTATATCTTTTTTTCATTCGTCATTAAATTTTTAGTTTTGTAAAGATCCTTTTATTTGCATAGGATTCTTTTATTTAATTTGACATCTTTAATTAATTCATATATTTTTTAAATACAAATATCAGAGCATGTTTCTGACATTTCTTAAAAATAGCATTTAACTTATGTCATTTATTCTTTAACCGGAATATCTGCATTTGGCACTTACAAGTAATGTTAGGTCTGTCAATTTGCATTAATGATGATATTCCTCAAAACAGTTTTATAAGTTTTCTTAAAAATAGTATTCCGCTGTCGCCGGAATACACAACCTCGTGATTTAATTATTCTAATATATTATATCCAAATATCTCTAATCTGTTTTTGCTGCAGTCTAATCTATTCTATGCACTTTATTGCGATCTAATGGTGTACTTATTTAGGAATTAATTTTTGGTCATTAGGGGTATATTTCAGTGGCCATATGTATTATGATTTGAATTTTAATTGATTGAATCACACCCTTAAATTATCTTTTATTTTTATCGAAATTCATGAACTTTAATTTCTTGTTATGTTACTATATGCATTCTACAATGCAATCACGTTACGTAATTCTGTAGTAGTTTATTACTCCTTTATCACCCTTTTACCCATCTAAAGCTAAGACTGAATCACAGTAAAGTTTCAGCTAACAGTAGTTACAATTTCAACATGGAAAGAACGAAATTATATTACATTATGATTATTGATATCCAAATTTAGTAGTAGATGACTATAGAATCAATGACTTTTTAACAATTAATAATATATGGTTGCATGAACTTTTTTGTACATGTAGATGTGGGTTCATGAATTATGCCAGGAACACTAAATGTTTGCGTTGTCCCGAGACACGGCCTAAGAAACATCCTGGGGATTGGAATTGCCCCAAGTAAGTAATCTTTCTCTTCTCCTAACCATGAAAACTTGTTTCCCGTCCAACTTTGTGTTTAAGTATATCTGATTTCTTTCATTATGCAAGAAGTATATTATCAATATGTTGGACACAGACGGTAAACAATTAGTTCTATTTTTCATGGATGTTCATATATATGTAGGTGTGGGTTCATGAATTTTGCTAGTAAAATGAAATGTTTGCATTGTCAAGAGCCAAACCGTGATTCCAAGAAATATAATGGGGATTGGAGTTGTCCCAAGTAAGTCATTTGTTTTCTTTTCCTTCTCTCCCCACCTTATTTTCTTTCTCAATAAAAGTTTATCTTTTCATGTATTGCTGCTTGTAGATGTGATTTCTACAATTATGCAAGAAATGTGGCTTGCCTGAAGTGCAACACTGAACGCCCTAAAGAACAATCAACTGTGGGCTATGAGGACCATGAATGGAGACGATCAAACTGATATGGAAAGGAACACATCTGGATTTTTCACGTAGGAGAAAGGTCACAGTTTTGGTATTGACATTAACAAATATTTGTTATAGATTCATTCTCTACCCATTTTTCTTTCTCAAAGTCCTAATTAATATGGTGCTAAGTGCTTCTTTACTTTTCAAAACGCCACAAACAACTGTTAGAATACTCTAAAGTTGTTTGGTTGCACATGAATTTGTGATTAAAAGCAAATTTACAGTGATTGAATCCTGTGATTATTGTCTTAAAGCACTATTTTGTTTCAGATTTTATCTATCCCTAGGGAATTCCTATGGAGATAAATGTTTGCAAACACATTTGAAGCAAAAATTATCAACTGCATAATTTCAATAAACATGATAATGCATTTTACCCACTCTAACTTCACAACAAATGGCAGCTTGTTATTTCTCTTAGTTGACGTGATCTTGTGCTGTATGGTATTTATGCAGAACGAAGCATACAAAGATTATAATTATGAAGGATGCTCGTAAAGGCACACTTGATGTAAGAAAATTACACTCATGTTATGTTTTAAATTCTCCCCATTAAGATTACCGATGGTAGCTGTTTTTAACAATGCTCATATTTCCTTTTTCAAATTTCTTGTCTAAAACAATTCTCTGCTTAGTTTTTTAGAACCGGTACTCGTTGGTTGGATGAACCTAATGATTAAAGGTATCAGTTTTAGCAAAAAAAAAAATTAACATCAAATGATATGCTTTGATGTAATTAATGTTGTATGATAATATTTAAATAAATTACTCTCACTCTTTTCTCTTGACTATTTTAAATAAATAACTAAAATAAAAAAATAATAATAAAAAATTAACATTTAAAATATTATAAACTTCAAATATTAAATTTGATGTGGTATTAAATATTGTATTTTTTTTTCTAAAACATGTTACATGTAAAATTTGATTTTGGTCTCTATAATTTTTTGTTTAGTTTTTATTCCTTTAAACCAATTTTTCCTTACGAAAAAAGTATCTCATTTAAAATATCAAAAGTAATACATTTTGCCTACACAATAACTCAGAAAAGATTTTCATTCAACCAAAACATACAAAGTTTGTTAACTTATATAGTACAGAAAATGGCGTATTAGTAAAATATTGTGAAAGATTATTAGTAAAATATTATTATTTTACTAACTAAATTAATGGCACCAGTATAGTGTCAATCCTAGTGCTATATTTTTTCTCTTTCTAGCTATTCAACTCGAGAATTTCGGAAAAGTAATCAGACTTAAGTGCACATAAACTTATCGCCTTAGAATAAAATGATCCAAATAAAAAATTCTAGACCATTTGATTAAGTAATATAAGTCACGCGTGCTAATCAATGTTAATTTAGTATTTTAATTGTAGAATTTTATTGAAGGTATTAAAAGGAACTTTGATCGGTTATTGTGAGTCTTGCCTCAGGAATAATTTGTTAAAATAAATAAATGTAAGAGTGTGAAAGTAAATTAGGAAATATGAATATAAAGAGTATTTTGAAATTGGAATTTCATGTTAGTCAAGGGACAAAATGGTCCAAACAAAGTTGAAAAATGTGATGTAACACTACGATAATAGTAATTATAAGAGATATTAACGCAAATGTGAATATTTTGACTTTTTTTTTCTTCTTATTTATTGTTACCGTTTTATATAATGTCAATCGATTTTGTTAATGATTAATTTTTCAATTTATTATCCAATTAGTCTAGTGCTCTGTCTTATTTAATATATTTAAACTAAAATAAAATAATTAATAAGGTATTATCCATTGAAATTCTAGATTTAAGAATATATATAAATTATCCATAATCTTATAAAATTATAAAAAAGTTATTCCATATTTATTAAGTTTTATTTTTTATTCGCTATAAACAATAGATTTATTTTATAGTTTGTTATTAATCTACTTCACTGAACTCAAACTTAATAAAATATTATTAATACAATATGATTGGTATTAATATATCCATAAAATGGGAATAAACTAAAATTATTAACAACGCAAGTATGGATTTAGGAACAGGTATAGCAGAAATATAAAAATTTAGAAACTACCATATCATATCTAAACTCTATCTATTTTGATTCTAAATTACACATGGACCTTAAAGACTTTTGAAATTTCAGAACATGCATGACATAAATTTCAAGCATACTGTGCATCTACCATGAGGATGAGAATATGGATAATATGCATGAAGACATGCAAAGCAAGAGAAATTTCTGCTATATAAGAGAAGAAATTAAGGTAACTGGCACCATCCCTAGTTGCTGCAATAAAGAAGTACTATAATACATTGTGCTGCAATAATAAGTACTATTACACAAATATATACTTACATTACTTCTTGCAGTTGGAAAAAAAATTATAGTTAAATACAACAGAGTCCTACAGTTAGCTTCTACCCCAAAAAAATTGTGAAGGGTTTCTATGCAACAATTCATTCTCTCTTTTGTGAAAGGAGCGTAGGAAAGTTAGATCAAAATCATGAATCATGTTTGAACTAAGCATGGAGGGAAGCAACCTTCTGTGTCAACTCATCCAGATCCTCTTCAGTGACCTCTGTATGTGGCTCCTCCTATTGAAAAAATAGGATCAACATAATTAAAGGAGAAATGTCCTCAAAAGTATAAAACATTGAAGATCAACATGGGTCATTTGAAGGCAGGTGGGTATTGTATATATTTGATAGAACAAGAAATCATAATCAATTCTAAAAATATACAAGACAAGATATGTATAACATACATTTATACAATAGCAATTTGCAGATCTAAATTAAGAACAAGCCTCCTACATATAACAAAAAGCAACAAAAATTATATATCAGTCATTATGAATTGTTTCCTGTAGTCTACAAATAGAAATAGTATCAATCTCATTCTTCAGGTAAAATCATTCTTAAAGAGAAACTTATATTTTTTATTCACTAATGAAAATGCTTTATACTACACATTTTTCTATGTCTTACATATAATTCTATTGGATTTTCATAACTTTTTTTAAAGGCTATAATACGTCATAGATACATTCAGTGACGTATCAAAGAGTATCAGTATTGGATTTGGGCATGGGTATGTGAAACAAATGAAAGCATCAGTGCTCATAGATAATTGGATATTCTGATGATGTGACTCTCCAGTTAGTACCATTGCATTTCACACGGACAGCAATTGAAAGGAGAGTTAACTACCTCTGGATCTTGTTTTTTTTTCACATCTACACATTTTGAACCACTAATGCTGGCACTCTTCAACAGGCTACGTGCGCTGCAGTTTGGCCTGGAGGGTCCATTTTGTGCTTCTGGATTTCCAGAATCCATCGAATCAATTACTCCAGTTGAATTTTCAACATCATCGTTTTGATTATTTTCATCCTTGGGATCAGGAACTCGCTCTCTGGAAATATAAATTGAAATTGTAAATGCATGACTTCTAAGTGATAATATCAGAGATAAAGTTTGCAGGCAAAACTACCAGTCTCATCTATGAACATTATAACGATAATACTATTCTAGATTGTAATTTTAAACACATGATGGTCATAAAAAATATAGATAAAATAAACCTCCAAAAGAACAAGACTATAATAAGGCTGTGTTAGTTTGCAAGTCTTGAAATCAAGTACTTGAACAGGTTCACCAAGTTTGGATCTAAAAACTGTCCCGGAACCTGCATGTTTAACCAAGACTTACCTAGGTAAGGAGGCATGGTGCCTCAACAATGGAGTGCCTCGTTCACCTTTGCCAGAATCCTCAAGATGTGCAAACTGTCGCTTGAATCGATCAACTCCACTGCAACAAGATAGCACGAAATTACTGATTAAATTCCAAGAAAGAAATGATTTTAAAGATCCCACATCAGTTGCTTCTCAGGTGTCATCAACAAAAACTAAACGTGCACGCCAAATCAGGTGCAAGAATCATCAACAAAATCTAAACATGCAACTCAAATGTTTTGCTGCTGGAGGCTATATCTATTTGTAAGAAATTGCGCAGAAAAATTCTAACAGAACATTGGTGCAGTGAAACAAATATAAATGTAAGGGATCCTTGCAATGGTCATAAAATCAAGTATGATGAAAAGTATATCATAAAAGTTGTTCAATATCTCTTCTCATTTATCAAAGAACATGCCTAGAGGTAAGATAGACATGTCTTCCAATCACATCTGCTTTCACATACACATTAAACCCTAACTTTTCAAATGCATACGTTGTTCAGGCACAGAGGATTGGATTCATTCTAACTAGCCACATGTACCTTCTGTTTTTCGGACCATCAAGTACAATCCATACAATGGGAAAACCAGACTATAATCATTAAGATGAGGTACAAGCTCTGCTAAGTACGTGTTTGGTTTAAAGTTGAGGAAATTTGATTTTTATAGAACCAAATGTAACTGATATGTGTACCCTACTAATTTCAACCCTATATTTTACATTGAAACATGTGCACGGTATGAGAAATTGATTTTAATGTCAAACAAACAAACCTTTAAAAATGCAGCAAGAGTGAATTAAAAAAATCCTTGAATAAATCCACAAATCAAACAATCTTAATGATAGAAGCCATGATAAATATCAAAGTTTCACAACGAGCATCTTATAAAGCAGGAAGAGTTAATTCAATTATGAATAATAATAGAAAAGTTCCAAGTCAAGACAGGAACTACTCAATATTTTAGGGGATAGTTTGTTCAAAAAGCCATCATATGATAGTTTGGGTAGAGTGAAGTTCTCAATAATCAGCATTACTGCCCTACCTTGGATACATGAAGCTTGTTTGTTCTCCACCGCGAAGATATTCCTGGAGCATCTGAGGATGATACTCTAGAATCTGTTAGTACAAATGTAAAACTCATTGTTACCACGGCACAAAAGAGAAGACAATAAATTATTAAATGAATCAAACCATTGAAATGTATGGCCGTACCTCTCTATAAATCAACTCTCTAACGTCATCTTTGGTCAATTTTCTCCTCTCAAACTCAAACTCGAGCTTTGAAATGGGTTGAGTGGACGGTTCACGGTCCGCATTTGACAAACCATGGAAATAAGGATCAGTTAGTGCCTGCAAACACATGCATAACAATGAAGAAGTAAGGAACTTTGGAAGTTATCCGCATAATTATCTTACAGAGGTTCATTTGGTACATTAAACGAAACCTATCTAGGTAACTGAAGATCAACCTCTTCAGCTGCTGGACGATCTTTAGGATCAAATGAAAGTAATCGCTCCAGCAAATGAAGACCCAATGGATTTACATTTGGAAATTTTTTGGTGAATGGAATAGGTTGTTTTTTCCTCATGCTACCAAGGTACCTTCTAGCCTTCTCATTTCGAATCTGTAAAATTAAGATTAAAAATTACTAACAAGAGGACAAGTGAGAGGAAATAAAGTAATCTTTAGATCAAACATTGGTGTTTCAGAACAGGAAAAGTACAAGCCAAGAATTAATATCATTGGCCATTCCAGCATGTTACAAATTTGCTTAAAAAATGTAGAATAGATTTGGATAAACTGACCTTAGCAATGGTTTCAGCAGGAGGAGTACCAAGCAGGTCAGTTATGAGATCCAATTGGTGCACCACATTTTTTCCAGGAAACAATGGCTTCCCACTGAGCATTTCTGCAAATATGCATCCAATGCTCCAAATATCAATTGCGGGGGTATACTGCAAAAAGCAAGGATTTAAAATTATACACGTACATCGATACTTAGGTATTTTCAACTTCGTATTTCATAAACAAATTCAATTTTTTGCATAAGGATAATGAATAAGCAACTAAAACAGAATGAAATATATCAAATATGTAGTAATTGATATTTGATATAAACAAATCAACTCTGGAGTTCAAGAAGTATTTTCATGTGGGGAGTATTATATATGCATAGCAAGCTAATTCTCAAAATTGATAGGTATAACAATAGAATTGGACTATACCACACGATTAAGCACAGTTTCGATACATGTCACAAACTACAGAAAGAGGGGATGCAAGGTGGGAAGCATACAAGAAGCTTACTTTTGAGAAAAAAGAACCACATAGTTCAGGTGCACGATACCACCGGGTTGCAACATAGTCCTTAATAAGAGTAGGTAAAATCAATCAGCAAAATATTGATGAGGGTGATTCTGGAACAGAGATAATTAATTTGATTGCACTTTCCATCTCAAAATCTTAAGAGGAAGAAACAGAGCAGAAATAAAAGTGCATCAATTTCCTAGAATACTTACTGTCCAGAATATAGCTGATGGAGCCTCATTAAATGAAACTCGAGCAAGTCCGAAATCACATATTTTTAGTTTGCAATCAGCATTAGCTAGAATATTTTTTGGCTTTAAATCACGATGAAACACATTTGCTGTAAGAAAAAAATTGTTTTAGTTCAATATCACTATCTGAAAAAGTCAAGGACTTAATTACAAGTATACCTGTGTGTATAAATTTCAGGCCTCTAAGAAGTTGGTACAAGAAAAATTGATAGTGCTCAGGGCTAAGATCATCATTTGCCTTAATCACTTGATGAAGATCAGACTCCATCAACTCAAACACAACATAGACATCCCTGAACTCTCGTCGTGAGGGAGGAAGCATTATATGCTTAATTTCAACTATATCAGGGTGTCGAAGCAATCGAAGGAGTTTGATTTCTCTTAAGATCCGTGTGGCATCAGACACATGCTCAAAAACATCATTGATTTTCTTAATTGCAACTTTTTCCCCAGTATGAGTGTCAACAGCAGAACACACAACACCGTAACTCCCTTTTCCAATCACTTCTAGGATGTCATACCTACTCGCCTCTCCATACTCAGTAAAAAACTCTGCCTCTGGTGTTCCCTGTTTGACAAATCATAAACCATTATGTTGAGACAGGTAAATAACATGTAAAGATGACTTTTTTATTACCACAAGTTCTATGGTTAAAGATGTAAAACACAAGATACAGGAAGCATAAAAAATCATAACTAGAATATACATGGGACAGTCAAATTGCAGACAATCTCACACTTCACAATAGTTGGCACTTCTTTATGTTATATATGATTAGTGATAACACAACAAACTCCTGCCTCTTTTGTGTACAGCGTTCCAAGAGCCAACTCTTCTAAGAAATTAATATTTCCTAACAGATGTTCTTTTACACAAATGGATCTCGGGATCAAACAATTGATCACAGCTTAAGGGACGTGATTATTTATTCACCATTAACACAATGTTGATAAACTTTTGCCTTAAGTCATGACTGCAAGAAGGATAAATCAAAATCATGCTGATTGTGAACTATGCTCTTGCTCTTCATTTCCCCTTGACAGGCAACCGAGGCAAGAAAAAGAAAGTTCATCATGATCAGGCTAACTTCATAATTGCCAAATGTTACCTCTTTAGTCTCTAATTGTTCGGTTCATAACCAAAAAACAGCATCAAATGAAATCAATTACAATCTATAAAATCAAACCTCTCTAGCCTATCCTTTTGCATATTCTCAGACAAAACTTAAACCAGATTCTATGTCACACCAAACATAACTCCATGCCATGATTTTGAAACTGAAAAAGTAAATATAGATATAAACCAATATAGTGGCACCGATACCCAACACTCTAAATAAATGGCAAATAATAAAACTAAGTAACGAACCAAACACAAACTAAAAAAACGGGTAGGAAAAAAAATTGAAACTTGAACAACACACAGTACCCAAATAAGCTAAACTCCAAAAAAGGCACGATCTCACAGAACCCACAAAAGAAAAAGTAATTTTGTTTAAAAGGGACCTTTTTGTTACGATCCATGGAAGAAGATTTGAAGTGGGATCGTTGGGGACTTTGAGAAGGTTGAAGGAAGAGGATTGAACGTTGACCAACTGGGCACGCAAATGTCTCAGGAGGATAATGTTGTTAACATTGTTGTTGTCTATTGTTTTTGTTGTTGTGGTTGATGATGATGTCGTGAAGGTAAATGTGAGAGTTAATAGAATTGCAACAATGGAAGAAACGAGCGAATGCCATCCACGAAAGAGTGTTGCTCCTACACCATCCATACACGCTCACTATTCCTCAATCTGCGCCTCCATCATTTCTCTCTCTCTCCCTCTTCATTTTCTTTCCACTCTTTTTCTAAATTATCTATTTTGGTATTCTCTGTGACTTTTTTGGAATTTTCTGAGCCCCGATCCTGCGGAAAACATGGCAACAAAATCTTGATGTGTTTGGACATTGACATCTACTTAATAGTCAAATTATTATTTAATAAAACTCAGAATTCTTAACAAGGAAACTGCATGGTTTGGATTCTCTCATGCATATCTTTTACAAGTGGATTCTCAAATCTTAATGATAAAAAATAAGTGTTGGATTTTGATAGTGAAGATTTTCATTTAGAAAAATCATAATAAAAATATGACCGAGAATTCATTCTTCACGGTATTATTACCTTACACGTGAGACAAAAAAAGGGACAAAAATAAAACGTGAAAATTGTACTTCCATTCGTATGAAGTAATCATTATTTCTTCTTCTTTTTTAAATAATAGATTTACTAAATATGTATATCAACTACATTTAAAAGTATCTTAAAAGAAATGAAAACAGTTTTCTTATAATTGAAGTATTCACATTTTCTTATTGAAAATGTAAGAGTTAGATGCATTATTATTAAAAAAAAAATTATTTCTTTATACAAAATTGAATAATAATAATAATATATATCATCATATTTTTTCGTATAAAAAAGATTTTTTATCATATTTTTTTATTAAGGACAATTTTTATGTTTTTACAATATTAAAGTTATTTTTAATATTATATTATATTAAAAATATGAGATATTTAACTTAATTTTATAAAATTAGTTCATAAATATAAATATTATACTCATTTATAAATTATTATATTTTAAATCGATTGATATTTCGTGACATTTCTCTTTTTTATCTCATCTTTTATAGAATTTTTTTCACCACACACTTTTCTAAAGATATTTTTTTCATTTATATGTAATTTAATCATCACTTCATTTAATAAGTTTTATATAATTGAGTTATTATTTTTTTTCGTTTTTCATATGGGATCAGTTTCAATTATAATGACGAAGTTGAGACTATTGAAAAATCTCTTAAAAAGTTTTTATAAAATATCATATTAACTAAAATCCAATTATAATATATAAAAAAAAAGTTGAGTTAAATAGTTATTAATTTCTATAACATGTATATTTAAAACTGAAAAAAAATTCTCTAGATATATTATAAGCATATAATGATTTTATAATATATATATATATATATATATATATATATATATATATATATGTATATATATACTGTATTACTAGTTATGTTTATTTTAATAGTAACTTCAAAAGTTGTACTTATTTTATTATAATGGGCATTTCAGAAATAACATAAGAGATTAATATAATTAATGCAGTTAATGAATTCTATTTATATATATGAGAAGTTAGTTTTTTTTCTTATAAATGAGAATAAATTTAGTATATGATAAATTTACTAACTATTATAGGTTTAATTTTTTTCTTAATTCTTCAAATCACTTGTTTCTTGTAGTTGATTAAATTAAAAATTACTTTTTTTTATAAGTTCCTAAATTACTTAAAATTAATTATATTTATTAAGCTCTTTATCCTCCTTACACATAAAATAATATATTTTTTCCTCAAAACAGTGAGAAATTAGAAAAATTAATACCAAATTGTTATTTTACAAACACATGTATAGGAAGTCAAAAACTTAATTTTTAATAATAATTAATATTTTTAAATGTTAATATTATTTTATTATTGGTTACTTTAAAATACCAGTTTTTTTTTAATTGGATATGTCAAACAGTTAAAAATTAAGATTGTGTCTATACAATCTTCGTCTCTCTCTCTCCACCAATAGCAAGTTGCAAGAACCTCAGTTTCTTCGTATCTACATACATCATGAGTTTCTTTGTCTTTTCAATGTCACGTGCCCTTTTAAGTCTTTTTCATGTCACTGTTCTTGATCTCACACCACAAAGATTTGATTAAAGCATTTAGGTTTAGATTGAATAAATTTGTAATCCATAAACTTCAACGTTCCTCTTTGTTATAAAATGGTAGGGGCATTCTGCAGGCAACTCTTTTTCTGAAGAAACTTTCAATTGATAAAAAACTATGATAATTGATTCCAGCAACTAATAATGAATAAATTATTTTAAACTAAAAGCCTACAAATTTTTTCACTTATAAGTACTTGTGTTCTGCTTCCTTTAAAAAAAAAAAAAAAATTATTCACTCTATGGGACAAAATGTATGATGATATGGAGTCAACTTAAAGCCTGATACACCATCTTTATCTGATGCTTCCATGGATCCATAGATTATCTGAAGGACAAAAACAGTCATGGAAGACTCTTGTGTGAAGATTTCATATTAGCTTTTTCACAGAATACACTTTCCATTACGAAAAGAATGTGGTTCTACTTCTATTTATAAAACTTCACATTCATTCAATGATTATAATAAATTAGAAAAACAAAGTGCATGCATGTGAGGACCTGGACATTATCTTTATATTATAATATATCAAAAGAAAAGGGTGTTATATATAGATAACAAACTTTTCAACAATTGGTGATTTGGTGTCTGAAAAGCATGAAAAAATGGAGGTAGAAGGAGTTCTATGTGATTGATTTTTTCTGCTAATGGGTGTCTCAACTTTATAGCTTGCAAGGTCTATCATGAAGTTCTTAAGATTTTCCACGAAACCACGTTGAACATGTTTTTTAACTATTGCATAATAACCAGCTTCTATACCTTGTTGAGGTTATTAGCATCTCCTTCATGTTCATAAAAAACCTTGTTGTGACCTTCCCATGTTGTACACTGTGTAAATTTTTGTCTCATATTCTTTAACATTTGCCTCTCTTGTTCTTTCTAAGTTTTTCCAATCACAATGTTCATGTGTGTTGCAGTGGTCCCTAGTGCACGAACATGTCCAATTCATCACATGAAAGGAGATATCTTTTTCTTTCATTGGTTTGTTTATGTTCTATATGAATGTAAGACAAAATAACATATTATATTTTTTTTCCGTAATGGAAAGACATTTTTTTTTTAATGCAATTTTGTTGTGTTGTGTTGAATTTATCAAGATGAGTAAGCCATAAAAAGATAAAAATTATATATAAATCACTCTAACGCAAAATTGGTTGTAATTAAGCAAAATTACATAAATAAGTCTTGTATTAAAATAATATAAAATTTAACATAAACAAATAAAAAATGAAATATTTAGAAAAAAATATAACTTACTTGATAGCTAAACTACTACCTGTTGATAAAAGATTTAATAGTTTATTAGAGAATTAGATCACAATTTAAATAATTAATATTTCTTTAAAATAATTACATAAAACAAAATAACTTTATATAATATTAATATGGATTTTCATCATTCATCTAAAAATTAAATAATATAATATTAATAAATATAAAAAAATATAAAAAAATAGAAGTCAAGTAAATAAATATTTAATAATAATTAAATTTAAAATTAAAATCATAAATACTAATAAAAATTACAAAACTTTAAAATAAAAATAAATTACCAAACATTTAAGTTATAATTCTCTCATCTCCCACGTCTCCCACAAAATTTCACTACTGGTATCAAACTAAAATATTTGCTTATATTTTATACACTAGTTTCCATAGTAATATGCAAGATCATGGTTTAAATTATAAAAAAATTTATTACAATGGTAATTTTTTAATTGATATGTTTTAATATTACATGTATTATTGTTTTTTTTTCTATTTTTTAATAAAATATTAAAAAAAACTATTTGTAATAAGTTAACTAATATGATTAGTAATGTATAATGTCATTCTAAACTAAATTTAATTTTTAGATATTTTAACTTTATCTAAAAAGTGTAGATATGTGTCAAAATGTACATAATACATATAGGTGTTCAACTCATGTATTTTTTTTAATAAAAAAATTACCTTCATCATTTATTTAAAATATTTCTAAAAATTTTATTTAATTGTAATAATTATTTATAAAAAATTATAAAATCTAGAACAATTTTATTATAAAAAAATCTCTTATTTTCAATATTTTACATTATAAAATTTGAATTCTTATGCAACATCTCTTATAAATATAGTATATATACATATATATATATATATATATATATATATATATATGTTTATTTAACAAAATTCTTAAGATCTGATATTTATCATTAAAACAATGATTAAACAATATCTATTTTACATATTTAAACAAATATTAAAGATATTCTTAATAATAAATATTAATATAATAATTTTTAATATAAAATAGTTGATGATATAATTCAAAATTATGGTAATTTTGCAATATTATAAAACAAATATAGTGGTTAATTTTGAATGAATGAAAAAAGATAACAGGGTTATTATCGTAAAAATAAGTTAAATGTACCTACTGTATCTAATAAATA